TCATACAGTGTACAAAAAGATTATCCTGCTGCAAGCTGCAAAAATATATGAAGTAGGATTTTAGCTGATTATGACAAGCTAATACCCAGAAGGCCAAGGGCCTTCCAGAGGTCAAGCTGAGGCTCAAGGTGTCTTGGTGATACTGGCTTTTGATTAGTAGCCGTTTCCTAGTATGAATTTCTCGTGTGCTATTGTAACTTTTCCATCATTCATTGGGCACAATTTCCCCACTACTAATGGAATATTTAGATAACCTTCTGTGCAGCAACACAGCCAGGATCCTTAATTTCAGGCCTTTCTGTCATTATCTTCATTAGCAGCATCCGGCCAGGACCATCCCCAGAGGGACAAAAGTATCTTATCAGAGATGCCTCTGCACTCTCTAAGAACAGACTTAAGCATCCAGACTATCTGTTTGAGAAGGCCTGGTGGATGTGCTAATTAAGCTTAACTTTCTTCCTCTCCAAAGTCTTATCTCTAGTTTTAGATCTACCTTTAACTATTAACTCAGAACTAAAGGGTTTCTACTTACAGGTATATCAAGCTGACTCAGGCTGCCCAGCCACCGAGTACACTCCCTGGCCCTGCCAGAAAGCAGTAGTCAAGATAGCTTGGACAGATAAGGGGCCAAAGAAAAATAAGACAGTTTTATTTTCACTTGTCACTGATAGACTCCTAACACTTTAACTAACCACTTCTAAGAATATAGTTGAACACATAAAATCCACCTTGCTCAGATATTAACCAAATTTAGCCCTCAGTTGATTCTATTCCCCATTAGTCACTTCCCTTTTGGGTTGCAGATGACGGCTGGCAATTACTGCTCTTTTGTGTGGATCTTATTGCCCCTCCTTTTGACCCTGAGGGAATTCAAGCCTGGTGACCTTGCTTTAACCAGAGCATTGCTATTACATGGGTATATATATATATATATATATATATATATATATATATATATATATATATATATATATATATATAACTGTAAACCTCAGAGACTTGAGCGGATGAGACAGAAAAGAGAAAAGAGAATGGAAGAACTAGACTGAGAAAAGAGAACAGAAGAACTAGATGGGCAAGAACTGGAGGAGAATGAACTGAGATGGGGAAGAACTAGACTGAAGGGCTAGAAGAGAGGACTAGAAGAACGAGATGGAAGATGAGGAAGAGCCATATGGTGAAGAACAAGATGAGGAAGAAGATGATGAGAAAGAAGGAGATGAGAGAGGAGCTGAGAAGGGAAAGAACTAGATGGATGAGAACCTAGATGGGGCAGAACTAAGGTGAGGGGATTAAGATAGAACTTAGAGGGGACAGCAGATAAATGTAGAGAGAAATCAGGCAAGAAAGGAGCTAGGCATGAGAGCAGAAATGAAGCTGCTGTGTAGATAGAATTTTATCCCAGAGGAATATAGTAGAAGGACAGAAGAGCTTGGTGTACTTAGATTCTTTTCCTGAAAATAATTCGTGCCATTCATAGCTTCTCTCCTGGGCCCCTGGGGAGAAGATTATTAAGGCTGGACCATAATAATTTTCGAGATTATCCCAATGCAGAACTCCTTGAATGAAAGGATGGCCAGGTTCCCCTGAGGAAGGACCTTGATAAAACACATAAAAGTTTTACGGTTAGCCTTTCTCCAGTCCTTCCCTAGAGAGACCAGTGGCCTTTTACAAAGGTAATAGTACCTGAGGGGAAAGGAAACAATCAGTTTTTCCAGGGTCTATTGGATTAAAGGTTCTGAGTTAATGGTGATTCCAGGAGACCCTAAGAAACATTGCGGCCCTCCAGTTAAAGTAGGGACTTATGGAGGTCAGATGATGAGTGGAGTTTTGGTTGAAGTCTCACAGTAGGTCCAGTGGGTCCCCAAACTCATCCTGTGGTATTTTCCCAGTCCCAGAAAGTATAATTGGGATAAGTATACTTAGAAGTTGACTGAGGGAGAGAAGCCTAGGGCCAGGTTTACTGATGGTTCTGCACATCATGCAGGTACCACCCAGCTGCAGCATTACAACCCCTTTCTGGGACAACCCTATAAGACACCAGTGAAGGGAAATCTTCACAGTGGGCAGAACTTCAGGCAGTACACATGGTCATACATTTTGTTTGGAAGGAAGAATGGTCAGATGTGCAATTGTTCACTGATTCCTAAGTTGTAGCCAATGGATTGACTGGATGGTCAGGGACTTGGAAAAACAGGATTGGAAAATCGGTGAAAAAGACATCTGGGGAAGAAGTATGTGGATAGATCTCTCCAAATGGTTGAAGGATATGAAGATACTTGTGTCCCATGTAAATGCTCATCAAAAGGTGACTTCAGCTGAGGAGGCATTCAATCATCAAGTAGACAGGATGACCCATTCTGTGGACAGTCAGCCTCTTTCTCCAGCCATCCCTGTCATTGCCCAATGGGCCCATGAACAAAGTGGTCTTGGTGGCAGAGATGGGGGTTATGTATGGGCTCAATAACATGGACGTCACTCACCAAGGCTGGCCTGGCTACAGCTGCTGCTGAATGCCAGATCTGCCAACAGCAGAGACCAGCACTGAGCCCCAGATACAGCACCATTCCCCAGGGTGACCAAACAGCAACCTGGTAGCAGGTTGACTACATTGGACCACTTCCTCCATGGAAAGACAACACTCTGTCCTTACTGGGGTAGAGAGTTACTCTGGTTATTGGTTTGCCTTTCCTGCATGTAACACTTCTGCCAAAACTACCATCTGTGGACTTACAGAATGCCATATCCACAGAATACTGTCATGGTATTCTACACAGTATTACTTCTGACCAAGGAACTCACTTTTCAGCCAGAGAAGCGTGACAGTGGGCCCATGATAATGGAAACCAGTGGTCTTCCCATGTTCCCCACCATCCTGGAGCAGCTGGCCTCATAGAAATAGCCTTTTTTACCCTTTAGTATTTCAGGACAGAGCTTCTCTGTGTAACAGCCCCAGTTGTCCTGGAACTCACTCTATAGACCAGGCTGGCCTCAAACTCACAGAGATCCGCCTACCCCTGCCTCCCAAGTGCTGGGACTAAAGGTGTGCACCATCACACCTGGCTCTAAGTTTTCTTTAGTTTTTTCCCCACAAGTGTCTTCAAAAGGCTATTCCAACACTGGGTGGTGATGACACAGTCACAACGCCAATTAGATCACTGCAGCCTGGAGGACTGGGGCAGGGTTCTCCAGGTGGTATGTTTTGAATCAGCATCCAGTTTATGATATGGTGTCTCCCATAGACAGGATCTATGGCTCTAGGAAAAAAGGGATGGAAAAGGGACTAGTTCCACTCACTATCATCCCTAGTGATCCACTAGGAAAATTTTTCTTCCTGTTCCCACAACTTTAAGTTCTGCTGCTGGCCTAGAAGTTTTGGTTCCAGAGGGGAAGCACTCCTGCCAGGAGCCACAACAAACAATCCATTGAACTGGACACTCAGATTTCTAATGGCCACTTTGTCTTCTGATGCACTTAAGCTAACAGGCTAAGAAAGGAATTAACAGTGTTAGAAGGGGTGAGTAATCCAGATTACCATGGGGAAATTGCTTCTCCACCATGGAGGTAAGAAAGGTTATGTCTGGAGTGCAGGAGATCCTTTAGGGCAGTGATTCTCAACCTTCTCAATGCTGCGACCATTTAATACAGTTCCTCATGTTGTGGTGACCCCCAGCCATAGCATTATTTTTGCTGCTACTTCATACTAATTTTGCTGCTGTTATGAATTGTAATGTAAATATCTGATATGTGGGTAACTGATATGCAACCCCCATGAAAAGGTCATTTGACCCCCAAAGGGATAATAACCCACAGGTTGAGAACCACTGCTTTAGGGCATCTCTTGGTGTTATCATGTCCTGTGATTAAAGTCAATGGGAAACTGCAATAGCCTTCCAGACAGGGTGACAAAGTACACAGACCTGTCAGGAGTGAAGGTGTGGGTCATTCCTCCAGGAAAAGAGCCAAGGCCTGCTGAGGTGCTTGCTGAGACTGGAGGAAATCCAGAATGGGTAGCAGAGGAAGGTAGTTATAAATACCAGCTAAGACCACATGACCAGTTGCAGAAAGGAGAATTGTAATTGACATGAGTGTTTCGGTTGTATTTTCTTAAGAATGCATTTGTACAGATATTTGTGTTTTCTTTCCTTTCTTTTTATCATGTGATGTAACGTCAATTAAGAGAATATCAATGGGGGCTGGAGAGATGGCTCAGAGGTTAAGAGCACTGACTGCTCTTCTGGAGGTCCTGAGTTCAATTCCCAGCAACCACATGGTGGCTCACAACCATCTGTAATGAGATCTGGTGCCCTCTTCTGGCTACAGTCATACATGTTGTATTTCTGATGCTTGAATAACTTTTTTTTTTTTTTTTTTTTTTTTTTGGTTTTTCGAGACAGGGTTTCTCTGTGTAGCTTTGCGCCTTTCCTGGGACTCACTTGGTAGCCCAGGCTGGCCTCGAACTCACAGAGATCCGCCGGCCTCTGCCTCCCGAGTGCTGGGATTAAAGGCGTGCGCCACCACCGCCCGGCTTGAATAACTTTTTAAAAAAAAAAAAAAGAAAGAAAGAAAGAGAGAGAATATCAATGGTTACCATATTTGAGATACTAAAAGAATGTCTCTCAAGGGACTTTGCCACCTATTCTAAATTTATAATGCATTTGCGGTTGTATGAGGGATATGTGTTTAGGCATAATTATGACCTGGTTGTTTGCATTTGGAATTTAATTATTAATTCAGTCAACAGCTTGAATCAATATGGTGGTACACATTTGCAATCCCAGCAGTTATGAGATGGGCAGGAAGATTACAAGTTTGAGGTCAGTCTGGCTTACATAGGAAGACCCTGGTTATGGAAAGAAACAAAACAAAACTGATCTGCTGATTTATGGCGTCAGTGTCAGCATTAAAAAAACACGTGTTAAACAGCAAACTCATACTTGCAAAAGAACTACTCCATAACATATTCTTCACTACAAATTCACAACACACAGGTGCACAGATCTCTTCCATTTGGGGTTTATTGTTGAGCTTGTATTAGATCACTGCTACTTTGGCTAGAATATGAGCCACAGAAAGAGCCATTGGGTGGCACAGCCCTAATGGCCTTACAGGACAAAAACCAAAGTTGTTCAAGCATCAGAAATACACAAATTTGGAACACTGAGACTGAAACCTGCTAGTGCTGATTTTGGCGTCTGCACCCATTGGCCACATCCAGGAATTGCTAGAGATAGTTTGCAACACAGCAGAACATGATGTCAGCCATGTTCATTGTGATTAAATTCCAAAAGAGTTTCTGTTTCCACACTGTATAGTACACAGAAGGACAGATCCCAAAGAAGGCTTATTGTCAGTCTCATTGTTGACTGAATCAGCAATGCAGTCTGATTGTGTTGCCAGTCTGTAGAGTAGATCTAAAGAGAAAAAATAAAATTCAGGGTTCTCACTGTACCTACACTGCATGATGTTACAGGAATATTTCCATTCTCAGTGTAAGATTTCTCTATGATTGTGAATGGGATTTCCCATTACTAGCTATTCACTCATCTTTTCTTCAACTTACCTCTTTTTGTACTTTCACTTTTTTTTATCTACAAAGAATAGCTATGAAAGCATAACTTTTTTTTGTGTGTGTGTGTGGTGCTGTTGATCAAACCTAGGGCCTCATGCATGCCAGGTAAGCATTCTACTACTTAGCTATATCCCTAGCCCTCCCAGAGATTTTTGAACAACATGAAGAACTGGCCACAGCTGGGCATGGTGGTACATATCTTTAATACCAGCTCTCAGGAGGCAAAGGCAAGCAGATCTGTATGAGTTGGAGGCCAGTATTGTCTACATAGGGAGTTTTAGGCCAGCCAGAGCAATATGGTGAGACTCTGTCATCACAATGTGTCACTTGGATTGGTTTAATAAAAAGCTGAATGGCCAATAGCTAGGCAGGATTTTCAGGGCACAGAGGATGCTAGGAAAAAGGGCTGAGTTTCAAGGAGATTCAGAGGAAGCATGACATGTAGGAGATGAGGTAACAAGCCATGAACCATGTAGCAGCATGTAAATTAATTGAAACAGGCTAATTTAAGTTATAAGAGCTAATTAGAAACAAGCCTAAGCTATCAGCCAAGCTTTCATAATAAATAATAAGTCTGTGGGGTTATTTGGGAGCTAGCTGGTGGGACAGAAAAATTCTCTCTCTCTCTCTCTCTCTCTCTCTCTCTCTCTCTCTCTCTCTCTCTCTCTATATATATATATATATATATATAGTTACACTATATACATACAACATATACACTGCAACATATATATATGTTGTAGTGTATATGTTGTATGTATATAGTGTAACTATATTTATATATATAAATAAAATTTGAGGGTATGGGCACAATTCCAGGGTAGAACACATATTTAGTATATATGAAGTTCTAGTTCAATCTCCAGAGAACAGATTTATTAGTTAATATTCTGGAAGTTCACTTTTTGTGTGGAGCAATCTGGGAGGCAGAGTGATGTAATGGGAATGGTGTTGCTACGTGAGAAAAATAGACAGCACTTCAGGAAAAATTAGGGCAGAATCACAAGTATTCAAAATAAATATAAAAACTATTCAAAAGGGGCTGAGGATGTAGCTGGTAAAGTGCTTGCCTAGCATGCCCAAAGCTCTGGTTTCATTTGCCAGCACTGAATAAAAAATGGGTGTTGTGGTACATGTTTGTAATCACAGCACTCAGGAGGTGGATATAGGAGGATTAAGAGGAGTTCAAGGCCATCCTCTGATACACAAGAGTTTGAGTCCAACTTGGGCTGCTTCAAACAGCAACAAAAATCTGAAGGTCCTATCTTTGCCAGCATATATTTCAAGATGTGGCCATAATTCTCATACTCTTCACTCATTTTCTCTTGGTTATAAAATGCCATGTTTATTAGAGGCTGAAGAACAAAATGTAGAAAACATTGACTGCAACTCCCTTACCTTCATTATCTCCACTGTGAGATCGTAGGTGAAGTACAGAACTTAGCAGAATGACTTTCCACATTACCCACAACAGTTTCTCCACTGCGGAATCTTATGTATTTAACAAGTCCCCAGGAAGTAGTAGGGCTTTCATATTTGTGACATTATATGGCTCCAGGGTGAGCTCACATATTAGTGCACTTTGTTAACATTCCAATGGCTCTCACGTTTCTTCAATTCTTGGGCATCTTGAGAACAAGGGAGCTTTCATGTTTTTCGAGTAAGCTGGTTTGAAGGCTAACTCACACTTCTTATATTAATAAGGCTTCTCACCATTGTAAATTCCATTATGATGATTAAGACGTGGAGAATTCTTGAAGAACCTTTTGACATTCTTCCCATTCAAAGGGTTTCTGTTCAGACTTATTTATTAAATGTTCAGTTAGTCGATAAAACTTATTGTAGTTTTTTCCACATTCTTGATACTTAGAGGAAACCTCTCTATCATGAATTTGTGCATGGTGATAGAGGTTTGAGGATGTTGTGAAGGCTTTCCCATATTCCTTACATTTGTAGGGCTTCTCACCTGTATGAGTCCTTACATGTTCAGCTAGGCTAGAAGAAACAGTGAAATCTTTTCCACAGTACTTACATTTATAGGGTTTTATCCCAGTGTGAATTTGAATGTGCTTATTAAGGCAAGAGGAATTTCCAAAGAGTTTTCCACATACTTTACATTCAAAGGACTTTTCCCCAGTGTGAGTTTTTACATGTTCAGTCAGCAGTCAGCAGGTAACACCTTTTGTATGCTTTCCCACATTCCTTACATTCATAGGGTTTCTCTCCAGCATGAGTCCTCTTATGGACAATCAAACATGAGGATATAGTGAAGGCTTTTCCACATTCTTTCCATTCATAGGGCCTCTCTCCAGTGTGTGTTCTTATATGTTCAGTTAGACTTGAAGAAACAGTGAAGTCTTTCCCACAGTACTTACATTTATAAGGTTTGATTCCAGTGTGAAGACGAATGTGCTTACTACGGCATGCAGAACTTCTAAAAGACTTTCCACATACCTTACAATCAAAGGGTTTCTCCACCATATGAGTTTTCAAGTGTTCATTCAATAGATAACATCTTTTGTAGGATTTTCCACATTCCCTACATTTATAAGGTTTCTCTGCACTGTGAGTTCTTACATGTTTTTGTAGGTAGGAGGAAGTGTGGAAGGCTTTCCCACACTTATCACATTTATAGGGTTTCTCTCCAGTATGTGTTTATGAAGGTAGGAAGATGCATGGAAGGCTTTCCCACATTCCTTACATTGATAAGGTTTCTCTCCAGTATGGATTCTTAAATGTTCAGTCATGTTTGAAGAAACAGTGAAAGATCTCCCACATAACTTACATAGATAGGGCTTCTGTCCAGCATGTGTTTGTACATGTGTAGAAAGTCCCGAGTGCTTAGTAAAAGCTTTTCCACATTCTTTACACTTATAGGGTTTCTCTCCAGTATGAATTCTGAAATGTTCAGTTAGACTTGAAGAAGTAGTAAAGAATTTCTTACATATTTTACATTCATAAAGTTTTCCCCAGTGTGGGTTCGTATATGACTATTAAGATTTGAAGAATACCCAAAGACATTCCCACAAACCTTACATTCATAGGGCTTCTCCCCAGTGTGGGTTCACATGTGACTGTTAAGATTTGAAGAATAGCCAAAGACTTTCCCACAAATCTTACACGCATAGGCTCTTATGGTATACTTTTGAATAGGCAGATCTCTACTTGGGGAACATGTAAAATCTCCTGCAAATTGAGTCAATTCACAGAATTTTTCCCCATTATAGATTCTTATATGTGCCTTAAAATACGACTGATTAAGGAAGTCAGTGCATTCAACAGGTTTGTCCTGCAAGCCTGTTTTCTGGTGAGTAACATTTGGGGTCAGACTAAAGTCTTCTGCATACTGATTCAACACAGAAAGTTCCTGTCTCATAGATGGTTTCTTATGCAGAGTGGGAAAGTGCTTTCCATACTGATTAGAGTCACAGGTGTTCTTTGAATTTTCAGTTTTCATATGTCTTTTAAAATATGAATGCTCTCTGAAGATATCTATGTTGCATATAATCACAGAGTTCCCAAGCACTGTGCCTTCCTGCCTGTTGAGGAGAATAAATACAACCAATGGTTGTTCAAGATTAAGAGTTTCAACCCTTATGAAGACAGAATATTATTAAATGCTTAAAATTCTTATTGCATGTATACAATTTCTGCCTTTTTTCCAAGTTCAATTCTAATGCAAGAATCATCTATAATCTGTTCTAACTTTGAAATGATTCATGCATGTCTTCATAAAATTCTTTAAAGACTCTCAAAGCAGAGTTACATATGTTGAGGATGCATATTTGTGGAAATTCTGAAGCTCAAACTTTTAAGCATGGATTAGGGTACCCCAAATTCACCAAATTCAGAATATCCATCAAAGAGAGAGTTCTCTTACAAAGGAGAATGCCATTTCTCTTAAATGTTTCTCATTTGTACTAATTTGCTACAGATGAATTCTCAATTCTTTCATAATCTTGTAAGGAATTTCTGTAAATTAATTTTAGAGGTCACCAACACTGTTGCATCTTCTCTGTATGAATGAATGATTAAAGTACATTATTTTAGAGATAGCATGGTGGTGTACTTATAACCCAGCATTTAGGAGATGAAGATAGGCAGATCAGGACTTGCTATCCTTAGCAACATAGCAACTCTGAGGATAGGGGCTACATGAGACCCTGTCTTTTTTTTAATGTATTACTTAGAGGATGATTATGATTTTTACCATTTTCATGACATTCTTAATGTTGCTATGTGATTTCTAATCAAGCTGGAGGAACAATAGTGCTAGAATCAGCTTAAATGTTTTAAAAAAAATGTTACGCATGTTACAAAATTGTTTTAAAGAGCCAGGAAGATGGCTTAGCAAGTAAAGTGCTTGCCATGCAAGCCTGAGAGTGGACAATGGATGCCCCAAACTAGATACAGTAGCATGCAAGCCTGAGAGTGGACAATGGATGCCCCAAAACTAGGTACAGTAGCATGCAAGCCTGAGAGTGGACAATGGATGCCCCAAAACTAGGTACAGTAGCATGCAAGCCTGAGAGTGGACAATGGATGCCCCAAAACTAGGTGCAGTAGCATGCAAGCCTGAGAGTGGACAATGGATGCCCCAAAACTAGATACAGTAGCATGCATCTGTAATTCCAGCACTACTGCTTTGACATGGAAGGCAGAAACAGAACTGGTCAGGAACTTATGTAGTAGTAGACACAAGAGAGATGCTGTCTCAACATGGTTGAAGGAGAGAACCAACTCCTGAAGCTCTCCTCTGAGTTCCACAAGAGGGCCATGACATAAACTTTCCCTGGTACATGTATGCCAGTGTGCACATGAGTATATGCACACACACACACACACACACACACACACACACACACACACACACGACACATAAATAAAACACAGATAAATAAACTGCTTTAAAAATTCTTGGGCAACATAGTAGAGCTGACCCTGTTGGGCACCCTGAGGGGCATGGGTGAGCCAGTCCTGAGGGTGTGAGAATGGGAGAGCTGCCCCTGCCCCTCCTTGTCTGCCATATGGTGCCTGGGTGAGGGAAAGATGCCCTCACCCTTCCCTTGCCACCTGTGGCAGGTGGGAAAGCTGGCCCTGCCCCTCAACAGCTGCAAGCACTCAGGAGAGTGGGCCCTGAACTTCACCTGGGCAGACCAGTAGAGCTGAGCCTGGAGGTGTAGGTGCAGGTGAGCAGGCCCCCAAGGGCATGAGAGCAGGAGAACTGGCCCCGCCCCTTGCTGCCTACTGCATTGGGTGAGCTAGCCCTGGTGGTGAGGATGAGAGAGTTCTGGACTAGGGCTGACCAACCTAGTCCAGAACACCCAGGCCCAGAACCAGGGCTATGAGTTGGCCCACCCCACTGTGAACTGCTGGAGCATGTGAAGGGGGCAGTCCTAAAGAGCCAAAGCTGCAGGATCTCCATGACACAGGGCAACAACAGAATATGTAAAAGTAGTCCCAGTGAGGGACGATGTTTATACACCAGTATCTATAGTGCAGTAGAGGCCAGAGGCCTTGAGCCAGACCAGTGACTCATTGCAATGTACACCTGCAAGGAAAGATGTGTGGACCAAAGGGTATACTGTGTGACTCACTGAGCCATACTACAGCTTCCACAATGAGATTTTTTTACTTTTAAATTTTATTTTATTTTGAGGGGAAGGTTGCAAGGGCAAAGGATAGATATGAAGAGATGGGAAGATGAATTGGAATACATGATGTGAAATCCACAAAGAATCAATAAAAAGTTTAAAAAAATTTCAAGGTCTAGTTACACATGCAGGATGTGCACTCGTGGGAACCTTGCAGGGTTTGGTTTCGTGATGGGTTTGACACTGTTATATTGAGTGTTTCTGGTTTAAAACGCTGCTCCCCTACCCACACCATCCTGAATGGATGACATTTACTTTCCACAGTGGAATTTCTAGTCTTTTCAGAGTATAGGAACTAATAAACATCCTTGATTAATCTGACCATTTGCACCATATTGAAAGTTTGTTCTCTCAAGGTGTCTTGCATTTCCCATTCTAAAGAAAAGACATAAAAACAAAGTAAAATCAAGATGAGACATCCGTTGCAGGAGTGGAAAGTGACAAATCTTGCCCGGGGTGGTGGACAGTGTCAGGAGGCTGAGGCAGAATGACTCTGAGTTTCAGGCCAGCCATGGCTACAGTGTGAGATCCCACCAAAATAAATAAATACAAATACAAAAATAAACTAAGTTTTGATAATTTTTTTTTTTTGGTTTTTTCGAGACAGGTAGTTTTGATAATTTTAATAGATTAAAACCTGGCAAGGGTAAAAATGTGAGTCATAGTTTTAGAAAATTATTACAATTTTCTTCTCCCCCCCCCCCCCCCAAGGGTCTCTCTGTTAGCCCTGGCTGTCCTGGAACTTGCTTTGTAGATCAGGCTGGCCTCAAACCCAAGATATTCACCTGCCTTTGCCTTCTGAGTGCTGGTATTAAAGGTGTGCGCCACCACCGCCCAACTACACATTGCTTTAAAAATGAAAACTGATGGTGAAAAGGAATATTATCAGGGATAATGACGAGGAAAGATCTCAACATAGCACAGGACAAAATTAAAAAGAGAAACGTAACAGGCATTTTTGTGGGATCACAGAAATAACCTGAGCAAAGTGTAAGAAATCCAGAATTGCTTCTGAGATAAAGGGCTGGCACCTTCTGAGATCAGCTGTATCTTTGAAACCTACATTTTAAGACTGGAGCTACAGCTCGGTTGTAAGAGTGCTTGCCTAAGCAAGCTCAAGGTTTAATCCCCAATACTGGGGGAAAAGGTTCATTATGGCTGTGTGCGGCAGTGCACACCAACAACCCCAGAACCCAGAAGGTAAAGATGGAAGTATTGGAGGGGCCAGCCTGGGCTACACAGTAAGACCCTGAATCAAAGGGAAGAAAACAAACAAACAAAAACTTCATCCTATTTCCAAACTCAAGGAACTTCCTGATCACAATTGTTTCCCCATGAATACTCACCCTGGAAACCGTCTCTTTGTACTGCCTGTAAATCTTCTTCCTCCAACCAGGAGATCAGACTGGGTTTGATGACCTCACATCCTACACACAGGGGAAAAAAGTATTCTTGGATGTGGTTCGTACTTGACAAAAAAAAAAAAAAAAGAAACAGTAAATTTAGGACCCTCTCTCCCTTTGTGTGTGTATGTGTAGGTCTGAGTGCACATGTGTACACATATGTGTGTGAGGCAGGGTCTTGTACTGCACCCAGGGGCTCATCAGCTCCAGCCAGTGTCGCTAGCCAACTGTCCAGGGGATCTCCTGTCTCTCTTCTGAGTGCTGGGGACCACAGGCAGCCACTGTGCCTGCCTACTTTTCACGTAGGTTTGGAGTGCAGACTATGGTCCTCATGACGGTACAGCCAAGCACTTTATCCTCGAGCCATCTCCCTAGCCCTGTAGCTTGTTTTCTAAGATGAGGTCTCTCACTAGGACTTGGGGTTCACTGATTAAGACTAGCTGGCTAACGAGTGAACCCTCCAGATCCTCCTCTACCCAAGGACCGGGATTACAAGTGCATGCCAGCATATCCAGTTCTTTGTTTTTGTTTTTAAATTTGAGACAGGGTCTCACTATGTATCCCTGGCTGGCCTAGAACTCACTATGTAGATCAGGCTGGCCTCAGATTCACAGAGATCCTGCCTCTGCTTCCCAAGTGCTGGGATTAAAGGCATGAATCACTACACCTTCCTGGCTACATAATTTTTTGAAACACACTCACACTGTACCTGGAGCTCACTAATTCAGCTAGACTGCCGAGGAGGCCCCCAGGGACCCTCCAATTTCCCCCTCCCCACTGTAGGAACTACAGGTGCAGCCATTACACTTGGTAAAGGCTTTTTAGCCATTTAGTACTGCTTTTTAAATGGTACTGAGGATCTGAACTCAGACACTCATGCTTCCCTATGAAGCATTTTTTCAGGTGAGGCATCACCACCACCCCCCCCCCCCGACACATTTTTTTCTTCTTTCTAATTTCTTTATTAGATTTATTTATTTTATTTTATGTGTAATTGTTTTGCCTGTATGTATGTATGTATGTATGTATGTATGTATGTATGTATACCATGTGTGTACTTGGGGTCAGAGGAGTTCAGAAGAGGGCACAGGATGCCCCTGAAATGGAGTGACAGATGGTTGTGAACCACCATGTGGGTTCTGGGAATTGAACCCAGGTCCTCTGCAAGAGCAACAAGTGCTCTTAACCTCTAAACCAGCTCTCCAGCCAATAATAATAATAATAATAATAATAATAATAATAATAATAATAATAATAATAGTACAGTATTATATTTTATTGTACTTTATTATATACTATTGTTTATTATTACTATTTTATGCATATGGTGTTTTGCTTGCATACTCTGTCTGTTCACCATATGTGTGTAGTGTCCTTGGAGACCAGAAAAGGGCACTGGATCCCCTGGAACTGGAGCTACAGACAGTTGTGAGGCACCATGTGGGTGCTGGGAATTGAACTCAGGACCTCTGGAAGAGCCAGTGCTCTTAACTTCTGAGCCATCTCTTCAGCCTTCCTCCCTGTTTTTTTAAGATTTATTTTTTATTACTTATTTGTGTGCATGTGTCTGTTTTTGTGTGTGTACCTATGTGAAAGTGCCCTTAGAGGCCAGAAGAGGGCATCAGATCCCTAGAAGCTAGAGTTACAGGTTGTGAGCTGCCCAGTGTGGGTGCTGGGAACTGAAGGAGCAGCAAGTGCTTTTAAGCACTGAGTCATTACTCTAGCTTCGGTTTTTTCTTGTTGTTTGAGATAGAATCTCACATTATGTAGCTCAGGCCAACCAGCCCTCCTGTGTGAGCTTTCCAAGTGCTAGGAGGAAAGATGTGTGCCACTGTTCCCAGCCCTGAAGAGCTCTGTTTCTAAAGAATGCACGGGAAGTGTTTCAAAAGGATAAGCATGTAGATCATCTTTTTCTGAACTAAAACCCAAGTTAAAGCTCATACATATATTAACAAAACACTAACACTCAGCCAAACAGAAAACAGAGTGAAACAAAAATATTTGTTCTTCTAGGGTAAAAGTTACCCCAGTATCTCACAGATTATAGTGTAATCAGACTTATCACAGTAGCTAGTTAAAATTTAAATTTAGATGCTAGGAGCTGGGTGTGGTGATGCAAGCCTTTAATCCCAGCACTGGGGAGGCAGAGGCAAGTGGATCTAAGTTTGAGGCCAGCCTGTTCTACATAGTTTCAGGACAGCCAGAGCTACATAGTGAGGTCCTGTTTTTTTTTGTTTTTTTTTTTTTTTAAATAGTAAAGCTTAGATGCTAGGAGGTAGGTGTGTAGTGCAGTGGTAAAGCACTTGCCTAGCATGTTCAAGGCCTAGGTGTATTCCCCAGATCTGTAAAAGCAAATACCCCTCTACAAACAAGAAACATGTGACAAGGATATACTCAGATCTCCTTTCGTTCCTAATAGGGTGATGGCATTGAGACTGGACCACATTTTGACAACCATGATGTCATATTAAAACTTACAGGGAGACCGGTGAGGTGACTTAGTGGGTAAAAACATTTGCTATGTAAGCCTGATGACTTGAGTTCAGTCTCTGGAATTCACGGCTGCAGAAGAGAATGGACTCCTGACAGTTTCTTTTGACCACACAATCACCATGGCACATGTGTGTCCAAGCTCTCTCTCACACACACCATGCACAAATACAATTCTAAAAAGTAAGAAAATATCTTATAGGGGATGGGGAGAAAGCTTGATGGATAAAGCTCTGCTACACAAGCATGAAGACCTGAATTCAAGTCCCCGGAACCCATGTAGAAGCCAGACACAGGAACACGGCGTCTATAATCCTAGTTCTCATGAAGAGATAGGAGGCAGAAATAGGAGAACCCCAGGAGCTTACGGCCAGCTAGCCTGGTATATGAGCGGAACTAAAGCAAGGAAACCCTGTCTAAGATGGAAGGTGAGGACTGGCACCAGAGTTTGACCTCTTACCTCCCTCTACACATGCCCTGTGCACACATGCCTGCATTCACACACTGCACACACGCATATAAATGCACACACACACAGAAGTTGCCTCATACCCCCAATATTGGTTTCTATAGGTTAAGTAATTCACCATCAACTGGAAACAAAAAATATTATACAGAAAATTCCAGAAATAATTTCTAAGTTTTCAACTGCACAATTCTATAAGTAGCTGAAGAAAGCTCACAGCTTCCTACTCTAACCAGCCTGGGGTGAAGTCACCCCTTTGCCCATCAGATCCGCACTGTGTGTACCTTCACTCGTCAGACCACCTGTCACTCAACACCAACACTTTCTACTTAATAACTGCCCCGAAACAGTGTAGTAGTGATGCTGCCAATCTGGTTATGCCAAAGAGAAGACATAGAGTACTTCATTTAAATAAAAAAGTTAAAAGTTTTCAAGTCAGGTATTGTAGAATATTATTTTAAGATGTGTTACATTTGTTTGTAATGTGGAACATTTGTTTAATGATGCAAAGATATGCTGCATTTGTTTAACTCTGTGAAGCTGTGTTACTGTGCCTGTCTAAAACACCTGATGGTCTAATAAAGAGCTGAACGGCCAATAGCGAGGCAGGAGAAAGGATAGGTGGGGCTGGCAGGCAGAGAGAATAAATAGAAGGAGAAATCTGGGAGGAAAAGAAGAAAGAGCAAGAGATCGAGGAGAGGAGGATGCTAGGAGCCAGACACCCAGACACCCAGCCAGCCACCAAGAAAGATATACAGAAGTATGAGAAAGGTAAAACCCAGAGACAAAAGGTAGACAGGGATAATTTAAGTTAGGAAAAGCTGGCTAGCAACAAGCCAAGCTAAGGCCGGGCATTCAGAAAAACAATAAGCCTCCATGTGTGATTTATTTGGGAGCTGGGTGGTGGGTTCCCAAAAGACCAAAGAGCAAAAGAGAAAAAATAACCAACAAGGTACGGCACATACACCTTAATTACAGTATTTGGAAGGAGGCAGGAAGACAGTGAGTGAGTTCAAAGCCAGTTTGGTTTACATACAAAGTTTGAGGCCAGCATGAATATGGAGGCAGACCCTATTCTCATGAAAGGAAATGAAATAAAACAAAAAGTTCTCAGCCGGGCGGTGGTGGCGCACGCCTTTAATCCCAGCACTTGGGAGGCAGAGCCAGGCGGATCTCTGTGAGTTCGAGGCCAGCCTGGTCTCCAAAGCGAGTTCCAGGAAAGGCGCAAAGCTACACAGAGAAACCCTGTCTCGAAAAACCAAAAAAAAAAAAAAAAAAAAAACAAAAAGTTCTCAACTTAATAAAGAAAAAAAAAATCTTATGCTGAAGTAGTGTCTTTTTTTTTTTTTTTTTTGAGACAGGGTTTCTCTGTATAACAGTCCTGGCTGTTCTGGAACTCACTCTGTAGACCAGGCTAGCCTCAAACTCAGAAATCCACCTGCCTCTGCCTCCCAAGTGCTGGGATTACAGGCATGTACCACCATGCCTGGCTAGCTAGTGTCTTAATATCTACAGTAAGAATGATTCTTGAACCAGGTGTGATAGTCCACACCTTTACTCCCAGCACTTGGGAGGGAGGCAGGCTCTCTCTGAGAGTTCAAGGCCAGCTTGGTTTATACAGCAAGTTCTAGGCCAGCCAGGGCTCCTAAAGAAAAAAAGGGATGGGGAGGGGTGCTGGAGAGATGGCTTAGCACTTAGGAGCATCTGCTGTTCTTGAGGCAGCTCACAGCTGTTCCAGGGGATCCAATGCCCTCCTCTGACCTCCTTGGGCAATGCATGCCTGTGCTGTATTTTTCATAAAAATAAAAATAAATCTTAAAAAAGATGTTTGTTTTCCCCCTCTTTGATTTCTATTTATTTATTTTGAGATAGGGTTTTGTTATATAGCCCACACTGGCCTTGAACCCATGTAGCCTAGATGGGCCTCAAACTCTAGGTGATACTTCTGCTTCAACCTCTCAAGTGCTGAGGTTACAGAAGGATCCCACCATACCTGACTTTTGTGTGAGGGTTTTTTGGGAGGGAGGTGAAATATAAAAATTCATGTAGCGACCAGGCGGTGGTGGTGTACACTTTTAATCTCAGCACCTAGGAGGCAGAGACAGGCAGAGATCTCTAGAATTTCAAGTCTACAAAGTGAGTTCCATGACAGCCAGAGCTGTTACACAGAGAAACCCTGTCTTAAAAAACCAAACCAAAAAAATCCCTCCAAAACGAATTCATGTAACTCAGCCTGGCTATGCAGTTGAGCTTCCTGCCTTCACCCTCTGAGTAATGGGATTACAGATATGTGTTACCATATCTAGTTTTTTGTGGTAAGGGGTTAAACCCAGGGCTTCATGCATGCCAGGCAGACATTCTCGCAGCTGAGCCACATCCCCAACCCCCATACTCAGTTTTTAGGAAGAATCTTCAATCTGTGAAATTGAGAAGAAAAAAGAAATTCATACTAGTTTTGCTGTTGAAACTCAAAACACTATTGAGAGGCTGGAGAGCTGGCTCAGCAGTTAACAGCACTGGCTGCTCCTACAGAGGACCTGATTCCCAGCACTGAACCCAGAAATGGCTCACATCATTTGTAGCTCCAGTTTAAGGGGATCCACTACTCTCCTGTGAATTCTGAACATACATACATGCATACATATATTTATACAGGAAAACACTCATACACATAAAATTAAATGAAAAAAATCTAAAACAAAACAAATCATGATTAAAATTGAGCCAGGCAGTGGCAGCACATGCCTTTAATCTGTGAGTTCCAGGCCAGCCTGGTCTACAGAGCTCCAGGACAGCCAGGGCCACACAGAGAGACCCTGTCTGGAAACCACCGTACCATGTGTGTCCTTATTTCTTAGTGTGTTCAGATCAAGACTGCTGATCCCTCGGTGTGCCCAGAACATTAGCCTCCCTAAGGGGCAGGAGGGCAATGGCATCTTACCCGCTGAGGCCAGGTTCTGGTAGTTCTCCAGCATCACATCTCTGTAGAAGTCTCTCTGAGTTTGATCCATTATAACCCACTCCTCTTGGGTGAAGTCCACAGCCACATCATCAAAGGTCACCGAGTCCTAAATCATAGACATGCCAGTCTGAGTAACATGTCACCAACATTCATTATAGATGAGGACATGAGACCCAGCTCTTGTCTGAGGACTTCCACTGTCTGCTTCAGGGATTGGTGGTCTATGAGACCTCCCTGTCCATAGTCACAGTCCATTTCCTATGGACATATGACTTTAGTGACCCTTCTCACAACTAACAAACAGTTCTATCTATCCCCCTACAATGTATCCTTAGCATACCACATACACTAGGTAAACAGGGTTCAATGCACAGTCTTGGGTTGGGAGATACAAATTAGTGGTAGAGTGCTTCTCTAGCATATTCAAGGCCCTAGGTTCAATTCCAAGCACAGGCAGAAGAAAAGAAAAAAAACTTATACTTTTTTGTGTGTAATACGTATCCATGTGTGTATAGGTATTCAAATGTATGGGTACATGTGTATTAGAGGCCAAAAGTCAACCCTGGGTATCTTCCTCAATGGCTGTCAAACTAACAATGAGGCAGGGTCTTTTCCTTGAAACCAATGCTCATTTATTCAGCCAGTCTAACTAGCAGGCTCACTTAAGACATCCTAGCTCTGCCTCCAGAGGATGGAAATTACAAATTACTTAAATGCTACCACACTCATCTGGTATTTACATGGGTTCTAGGGATTTGAACTCTGGTTCTCACACTTGCATAGCAAGAGCTTTACCCACTGAGTCATCTCTCTAGTTTCAGGAATTTTTAAAAAAGAGAACTTGTTTCAGCAGGCAGATCTCTGTGAGTTCAAGGTCAGCCTGGTCTACAGAGTGAGCTGTAGGACAGGCACCAAAACTACACAGAGAAACCCTGTCTTGAAAAACCAAAAACCAACCAACCAAACAAAAAAACAAAAAAGCCAAACCCAAGAGATGGGGGAAGGACTTGTTTCTTGGGGCTGGAGACGGCTCAGTGGTTAAGAGCACTTGTTCTTGCAGAGAATCTGGATTCTGTTCTCACCCCAGCATCAACATAATGTCTCACAGCCATCTGTAACTCCAGTTCCAGGAGTTCTGATGCCCTCCTCTGCCCTCTGTAGGTACCAGACATGCACATGGTATACATACAGGTAAACACAACATAATTTAAAACAAACAAACAAAAAAGAACTTATTTCATTGAGCAGGGCAGGGCCCACCCGCCACAGCACACAAATGGAGGTCAGAGGACAATTTGCAGACTTTAGTTCGTTCCTATCAAGTGAGTTCATGGGAACCTAAGTCTTCAGTCTTGGCAGCAAATGCCTTTACTTGCTGAGCCATCTCACCAGCCCCAGTGTTTTCTAACTTGTGTAGCTGAAGATGAACTTGAACTCCTGACCCTCCCCTCTACCTAAGAGGATGATTTTCAATTTCTTTTTTCTTAATTTTACTTTTATTTATATGTATGTTGTTTGTGTGTGCACATGTGTGCAGGTGTCCATGGAGGCTGAAGAGTGCATTGGATCTCCTGGAGCTGGAGTTAGAGGCAGTTATGAGCAAGTGTTGTACCAACTGAGCTACATGCCCGGGCCCCCGCAACAAAAGATATGCTCTTTCACCTTAAAATTCTGTCAGAATACCTGGCAAAATAACAAACATACCTGTGTCACCATGAGTATCAACATTAATCATTAGTTACTGAGCTCCTGATGGAATTTCAGATGACATTACACCAGTAAGTGTGTTGCTACCCCTGGGGAAATTCACCTGGGGTTTCATTCAGTCTTGATTCTTGGCTCTGTGAAGGGCCAGTGTCACATCTACCTAGATGGAAACATTTCTACCTGGTGCAGGCACACTTGGCATTTTGTGACAGTTTCTGCATACCTGATAAAAACCTCTCAGGCAGTGGGCCACCATATTCTCTACCTTTTCCTTATCCTCAAGGCAGACTGGGTAAATGGAAAGAAGACTACCTGGAAGAAACAGACAATGTAAGAACCCGAAAATTCCCATCTATCTCGTCCATGTTCTTCAGTTCATCAATCCTAGTGTCAAGTACACAGAATCCTAGATACTTGAGAAAAATTAGATACACACATTATTTTTAAAAATAGTTTTAGAGCTGGAGAGATGGCTCAATGGTTAAGAACACTTGTTGTTCTTGCAGAGGACCCAGGTTCAATTCCCAGCACCCACATGGTTGTTCACAACCATCTGTAACTCCAGTTCCAGGATGCACATGATACAAACATACATGTAAGCAAAACATTCACACACATAAAATAAAATAAATAGATCTAAAAATAATTTCAAAAAGAAAAAATATTTTTATATTTACTTATTGTATAAGTGTAGAAATGTTATAACACACACATGAAAAGGGTAACTTGGGGGAATCTATTCTCTCCTTCCACCATGTTGTAGGTTCTGTTGTTTTTCACTATGCTTGATCATCCTAGCAATTACTAAGAGCCCCACCTTCAGCAATAATCAATAGATCAAGAAGTGGCTGAGTTTCCTGTATCTGAGCTTCAAGATTCTCAAAATTATTTCATTTTTCTTTTCTACACCAATGACCTGAGCCTAGGTAACTACAATCATATTTGAAAACTTAATTTTTATGAGTTTTTGCCCTAACTTCATACCTTCATCTATACCTAGCACCCCCACCCCCAGGTGTGTGTGTGTGTGTGTGTGTGTGTGTGTGTGTGTGTGTGTGTGTGTGTGTGTAGGCTTGCATGCTCAAATGCTTGAGGAGGCCAGAGAACAAGCTAAGGTGTTGTTCCTCATGAGCTGTTCACCTTGTTTAATCACACAAGGTCTCTCAATGGCATGGAACTTGCCAAGTAGGCCAGGGATCCACCTGTCTCTGCCTCCCCAGTCCTGGGATTTCAAAAGCAGTCACCATACCAGGCTCTTGTGGTGTGGGTGCTAGAGACTGAATTCATGTCCTTACATTTGCATGACAAGTGCTTTACTGCCTGACCTGTCTCTTCAACCCTACTCTGAAACTATGCCATTTCTCTGGCCCTAGCCACCCTCCTAACCCAGCTACCACCATCCTCTCTTCTGTGTGACATTTTTCCTCTGGGAAAGGAACACACCTGCCTCTCAATTACTCTTGAGTTTTGTTCATAAAGTTTCCTGTTCCTGAATAGTCTCTCCTCATCCTTGCTTAAAGACCTGGCAGCTAAATCTTTTCTGAGTTTCATTATTAACTATCAGTCTTTCTTTTTGTTTTGTTTTGAGACAACACCTCACACTGTAGCTTAGGCTGACCCCAAACTCCTCCTGCCTCAACCTCCCAAGTGCTACGATTACAAATTTGAGCCACTAGCTGGGCATGGAGGCGCATGCTTTTAATCCCAGTACATGGGAGGCAGAGGCAGGTGTATCTCTGTGAGTTTGAGGCCATCCTAATCTCAAAGCGAGTTCCAGGACAGCCAGGGCTGTTATACAGAGAAACCTTGTCTCAAAACAAACAAACAAACAAACAAAAAATGTGAGCCACCAAGCCCAGATACTAATGCATTCCATTGCTGCTATTATATTATTATTATTATTATTATATTATCATCATTATTAATTACCATCAGTAATGGTGGTGGTGACAGAACCCAGGCTATCACACATGACAGGCCAAGTACTCTTATCACTCAGCTCTATCTCCAATTCTTTTACTTTGAGACAGAGTGTCACGAGGTTACTCAAGTTGATCCTGAACTTGAGTCTGTGGCCCAGGAATACTAGCTATTGTGATGGTGGCAGCTTCTTTCTCTTCCTCTGCCTCTTCTTCTCTTCTTTTTCCGTCTTCCTTCTTATTTTTTAAAGAGGCTGGAGAGTTAGCCCTGTACCTCCAGTTGGCAAAGTCCCTGCCTTAAAAGTAGGAGTACCAAAGTTCAATCTTCAGACCCCAGGTAAGAGGAGCTGGGCATGGAACTGGTGACATGGCTTAGAGGTTACTAGTGCATATTGCTCTAGGGAAAGACCTGAGTCTAGTCCCTAGCACCCACACTGGGTGGCTCACAACCACCTATAACTCCAGCTTCAGGGGACGAGACACCTCTGGCTTCCATAGGCACCTACACTCACATGCACATGTTCACACACAGGCATACACATATACATATGAATAAAAATACAAAAAAATCTTTTTAAAAAAAAACAAAATTGGGTGTGGTGGCAGTACATAGTTATAATACTGGTACTGGGGAGGTGGAGACAGGCAGATCCCCTGGGGCTCTTTGCCAGTGAGAAACCCCATCTCCAAAGACGGACAGCACCTAAGAAACTACACCTGAGGTTCTCTTCTGGCCTCTACATGCATATGCACATGCACGTGCTGCCACACACCCATACACAAGCATACACATAAGTAAAAAGAGAGGGCTAGAGAGCTTGCTACTCTCCCAGAGCAAGATGTGTTCAGTTCCCAGCATCTACATTGGGCAGCTGGCAACGTCCGTGATTCCAGCTCCATGATATCTGAAGCCTCTTCTAGTCTTCATGGGTGCCTGCATGCATACACACACACACACACACACACACACACACACACACACACACACACACACACACACGGACGTGGACCTATACACACATAAATAAAAAATAAAATAATCTAAAATAAATAAAATAAAAGTAATATATAAAATAAGATGGGCCTAATAGTATAAGCCTGTAGTCCCAGCTACAGAAGAATCACAAAAAAGACTACCTTGGCTATAGAGCAGGTTCAAGTGCAGGGTGACTTAATGGAATCCTGTCTCAAAACTAAGAAATAAAGTACTGGTGATATAGCTCAGTGGTAGAACGCTTGCCTGTCATGTGCAAGACCCCAGGTTCAATTAATACTCAGCACCCTAAAAAGAAAAAGGTCAATCTGTAGATGTCTATTATGTATGAAATTGTAAAAGAATAAATAGGGCCATGTGTGGTGGTGTAAGCCTTTAATACTAGCACTCGGGAGGCAGAGGCAGGCAGATCTCTGTGAGTTCAAGGCCAGCTTCATCCACATAGCAAGTTCTAGGTAGCCAAGGCTACATAGTGAGACCGTCTCAAAAAGACTAAAAAACCCAAAAGAGTAAAAACAAAGCAAACACTAAATAATACCAATAAGATAGCTCAGCTGAGCTGGTAAAGCCAAGCCTGATGAGCTGAATTTGATACACCAGACTTACATGGTAGGAGAGAATCAACTTCTGCAAGTTGTCCTCTGACCTTCACAAATGTCTTGGCATCTGCACACACACACACAAACACACACAATAAAAATTAAAAATAGGGGGCTGGAGAGATGGCTTAGAGGTTAAGAGTACAGGTAGCGCTTCCAGAGGACCTGAGTTCAATTCCCAGCAACCACATGGTGGCTCACAACCATCTGCAATAAGATCTGGTACCCTCTTCTGGCCTGCAGACAGGACACTGTGTACATAATAAATAAATAACTTTAAAAAATAAAAAAATAGGATAACTAGCTGGGTGATGGTGGCACACATCTTTAATCCTAGCACTTGAGAGGCAAAGACAAGTGGAGTCCAGGTTCGAGGCCAGCCTGGTCTACAGAGCAAGTTCCAGGACAGAGAAACCCTGTCTCAAAACACACACACACACACACACACACACACACACACACACACACACACAAACAAAACAAAAAACAAAAAAAAAAACTATACATAAACCATTGAGACCTGAAGTACTGAAGTATGGCTAGTCAGAAATTAGTATTCATGTGTGAAATGCAGATGTGATTCTTAAAATTTATTTAAAAAAATAGTATTTCATTATTTTAAAAAATTCATTAATTTTTAAAAATGTATTTGTGTGTGTGTGTGTGTGTGTGTGTGTGTGTGTGTGTGTGTGTGTGTGTGTACCACATGTATGCAGGTACTTTCAGGAGCCAGAAGAGGGAGTCCGATCCTGAGGAGAGATTTAGGACATTGTGAGCCTTAGTGCGGGTGCTGGGAACTGCCCTTTGTAAAAGCAGAAAGTTCTCATACACAACAGCCATCTCTCCAGGTCCCTCATTACTTATTGCCTATATTTCTTAGTATTTTGCATGTATTGGGTTCAATTAAAATGTAATAAAAATTAACAAAAACGTTCATTTGATTAAGAACAGAAAGGTCTCTTGAACCACTTAAGTACATATATGTGCATATAATCAATATAAATAAAAATACATATTGCAATATACATCTATAAATTTTTATTTCCCCAACGCTTGGGGTGGAATCCAGGGCTCCGCAGAGACAGCCACATCCCCACTCCTGAGCCTAATCCCTCCCAGCGCTCACCCGTACATAGGGCAGTTGCCAAGGTCCATGAGGCGGGAGGACCCTCAGGGACTCGCTTTAATGTGTATCCAACGGCGAAAATATCTTTTCCTTGTGATTTAAAAAAGAACGAAAATGATGAAGGTTTGCAGGCTGGGAAGTGGACGAAATAATAGCTGTCGTACAGCAGACAAGGCATTACGGCAGTTTTACGACGCTCCCCGACCTCGCACGGCGCGCAGCCTCCCGCAGAGCCGGCCTGGCGAGCGGCGACGCGGGCGGCCTGGATACCTGCGTCCTCCCGCGATCCAGGCCCCCTCCCGACGTCGCTGTCAAGCGGAATTCCATATAACCCGTGCCGACCTCACAGTCCGGAACCATAAAGTCGCTCTCAGAGATTGACAGAAGAAAAAAAAAAAGCCACCGTGACGGTACTTCCCGTTTTGCTTCCAGCCTTGGGTGGCGGAGTTGTAGACTTCCAGTTTCAGGGGCGCTTACCCTTGTAGGGCTGAGGGTTTGTAGTAAATCTCGCCAGTGTAGGGAAAGATAGTCTCAGCTAAGGAAGGGAAGGTTGACGGCGGCCTCACAGAGCGGGCAGGGATTCACATGGAACGGAGCTCAGGGATGGATGTGGCAGGTGAAAGGACCAGAGTGGAGGGAGCGTGGGGGGTGCCATGCTAAAGATGCTTATCAACGGTTTTTATTTGATGTTGTTGAGACGTGCTGCACAGGCTGTCCTCGAACTTGCCGTGTAGCTGAGGATGACCTTGAACGTCTGGTACTCGTGCCTCCACCCTGCAAGTGTTGGTACTGTAGGAGTGCCTGCAACTACATGCAGTTTAACAAATATAATACAAGACTCTGTCCAAATCCCTCAGTCACAGTTCTGTTGATAAATCTGCCAGTTTATGAGATGATCCGTTTCTTCCATACACCCAGTCTCACGTGTGGATTGTAATTTTCTTTTATTTGGATACCCTAATAAACTATAGTTTGGATTTCTTTGCATTTTCCTTTGTGTGTGTATGGTGGATGGGCAAGTGCTGTACCACTGAGCTGTGTCCCCAGCTTTTTATATTTTCAACTACATATAATTTTATTACTTTATTGTATACTTTTGTTTGGGGGGTTATGAGACAGGCTCTCACAATACAGCCTAGGCTGGCCTTAAATTCCAGAGTTCCTGATTACAGGACTGGACTCAAATGCTTGGCTAATTAATAGAATGGTACAATTTTGGAGGTGCTAAGACATGAACTTTTTACATCCTACACAAACACCCTGTTACTGAACTATACATCCAGCTGCCAATGATATAATTTGAGACATTAAAAAACGTTTACACGTGACTGGATGTGGTGGCACAGGCCTTTCCGGCTAGCACCTGATAGGTAGAGGCAGGTGGGTCTCTGTGAATTCAAGGCCAGGCAGGGCTACACAGTGAGATCCTGTCTCAAAAGAGGGGCACATCTATCGAGGCCAGAAGGCAGCCTGTGAGGATCTACGCTCCCATTTCAACATGTGGGCTTTAGGAATCAACTGAGGTTGTCACCGAGTCTTGGCTCACTGAGCCATCTCACTGGTCCTTTAGATATTTTGTTTTCAAATATCATTGTTTTTATTTTTAGGCTCTTACCAAATGATTCAGAGCCTTCGTGTAGCTTGTAAAATGGCAGTGGCATCTGACATTCTTCATTTACTAATTAAAGATTACAAAGTTTTATGTATGTACACATAAAAAAATAAAAATTACTAATTAAAAACAATTCCTCATGATACTTGTACATCAGTGTTTTTTGCAGCACCATTCGTAATAGATGTGTTATAGAACCAATCTAGGTGTCAAGCAACAGGGATGGACAAAATATGCTGTATGTACAAAATACAGTCTTTTTTGTACATGTATTTATTTTGTTGGGAAATGATTATGTGCCACTGATGTACACATACATGTAGGTTCCAGGTATCAAACTCAGGTTATCAGGTTTGGTGGCAAGAACTTTTAACCTCTGAGCCGGCTCTCCAGTTCCACAATGGGATCTTTATCAGCAATGGAGAAGAGTGGCCAGGAGATGCCGGCCCAAGGGGTGAAGGCACTTGCTGCCAATCCTCACAACCTGAGTTTGATATGTGAGGGTCACATGGTGGAAAGACAGAGTAACTTCTGTAAGTTGTCCTGTGACTTCAACAGACATGTAATAGGTTTTCTGTACCCTGATAATAGGTTTCTCTGCCGACACAGTAAGCCAGATCAAGCCAAATTGAAAAAGTATAACAACAGGTTTATTTGAGCAAAGAAACTCCCGAGTGGGTTCTCCAGTCCCGGAGATGGAGGCCTGAGAAGCTACAAGCCTGAACTAAAGCAAGGAGCTTATATAGGTGGTAGGTGAGGGGTGATGACATGTCCTCCACAAGCTGGGTTTGTGCCCAAGTATGGTCAAAAGCTGAACACTTGAGGCAGGAACTTGGGCTGCTGAAAACTTCAGGGGAGGAGCTGCCACCAAGAAGGCAGAACTGGGCTTTTTGGTGCCTTTTCTTTTTTGGAGATTATCTGAGAGGGCAGGGTTTGGAGAGAGGAGGGGGAATGGGGCTTTCTGGATCATGCAAGGGTAAGCTGGAGGTTCTAATTGAACAACATACTGTGGCACACATATGCATGCTTGAACACATGCACGCACAAAAATACATGTAATACATTTGTGTTAAAGATAGTTATATCATTTAAGGAAAATGGTTGCAACCAGAGGTAGTCTTATTAAGCAAATTAAGCCAGTCTCAGAATGACAAATGTTTTTTTCTCATGTATTGTTCCTAGGTTTTATATAGACACATAAAATTATGTATGTATAGATGACATGGAGTAGAGGTGAAACTGTCTAGGGAAACAAAGGGGATTAATATGAGGGGGGAAGGAAGGTAAAGGATTATGGGGTCTAATATATTCAGTGTACATTATATAGTTGTATGAAAATATCTATAAATAGTATGTGATGCAAAATATTTTAAAAGCCAAAAATATTATTGTACATTATATAATGTGTTTATGCATCCAGAAGTATATGCCTTTTGCTTTGTTAGTATTCAGCTGTTTTTTGTTTGGTTGAGACAAGGTTTGTGTAGCCTTGGCTGTCCTGGAACTAGCTCTGTAGACCAGGCTGGCCTTGAACCACCATCACCCAGTTCAACTGGTTTTTCATTGGTTGGTTTTATTTCTTGGAGCCATGTGTCACGGTGTGACATGGGCTGGCCTGGCACTGGCTTTATAGACAAGGCTGGCCATGGCACATGCCCACCCTCACAAAATAGACATGTAATAAAAACTAAAACATGGCTGGGCATGGTGGCACACGCCTTTAATTCCAGCACTTGGGAGGCAGAGACAGGCGGATCTCTGTGAGTTCGAGGCCAGCCTGGGCTACAAAGCAAGTTTTAGGGCAGCTAGGGCTACACAGAGAAACCCTGTCTCAAAAAACAAAATAAAAAAAGAAAATGAACAATGAAACTAAAAACAAACCCTAAGGCTGAGCAGCAGACATTTTGGTGCACAGCCCTGCTCATTTTTGTCCTCCAGGTCCCATAGTGACATTGATTGTGGGCTGTGATGAGTTGCCTTTGTTGTTCTATGTACTTTGGGTTTAATTTCTCTAGTTGCTAGCTTTAGGAAGTTAGATTATCAACTTGAGACCTTTAAAAAAATTCTTTGTGTGTGTGTGTGTGTGTGTGTGTGTGTGTGTGTGTGTGTGTGTGTCTGTTGGAAACCTCAGGTGTCAGTCTTCACCTTCCCTTTTGTTGGAGACAGGGTCTCTTGATGTTCACAGCTGAGTACACTAGGCTAGCTGGCCTGGGAGCTTCCTGAGAGTCTTGTGTTCTGCCTTTCATCTCCCCACAGCAATATAGATGGATTCAGGCAACCACATCGAGCTTTTCATGGGTTCTGGGCATCTGAACTCAGTTCTTCCCACTGGCGCGGCAAGACCTTTACCCACTGAGCCATCTCTCCAATGCGTTTTGTTTTGTTTTGAGGCAGGGTCTGGCTGTGAACATACGTAACTTCTTTTTCTTTACATTTGTGTGTGTATCTGTTTGCTCATGCATATAAGCCATGGTTCTTATGAACAGGTCAGAAGACTGCTTTGGGGAGATGGTCCTCTCCTTTCACTCTGTGGTTCCAGGGGTGGGACTCAGGTTGTCAGTCTCAGTGGCAAGCACCTTTACCTGCTGATCTGCCTTGCTGGCTGGCCCACACATGACTTTTCTTTCTAATATAAGGATTGGATAGCTTACATGTACACTCATTTAGCAGTACCCACTACAATGTAATGTGCTGCATTTTCAAAGTATTTTTACAATTTCAAAGTATTTTTACAATTTCTCAAGCCAGGCAGTGGTGGCGCATGCCTTTAATCCCAGCACCCAGGAAGCAGAGGCAAGCAGATCTATGTGAGTTTAGGCCAGCCTGGTCTACAAAGTAGTTCCAGGATAGCCAAGGCTACACAAAGAAACTCTTGTCTCAAAAAACCAACAAAACAAAACAACCAATTTCCCGCATACCTTCTCTCTGATCCATTATTTTAAGTTCTTTGTAAGTTATTTTGAAGTTAGTTTCCAAGTATTTAGCATTTTCATTTTGTTTTTGACTTCTAATCTAATTCCATCTTCAATTATTTTAAATTTCTATAGGCTTTGTTCTATGTTTAGAGTACATGTGTCAGTGTGCATGCTTACACATGCATGCCTGCATGCCACAGTTCATAGTGGAGATCAGTAACAACTCACTTCTCTCCTTCCATCCTATTACTTCTGGAAAGCACTTCTATCCATCTTGACTTGAGCCACCTCACCAGCCCAAGTTTTTATTACTATGAAAGAGATTTACTTTGAATGGGTGTGGATGGGAACATTCTCCCATTGTCTCTCTGCATATACTCTGAGGCTCTGTTATAAAGTGTGTGCTGGAGCTGGGTGTGTTGGCGCACACCTTTAGGCCGAGTAATCAGGAGGCAGAGGCAAGCAGACCTCTGAGTTTGAGGCCTACAGAGCTAGTTCCAGGACAGCCAGGGATACATAGTGAGACCCCGTCTCAAGAAAACAAACAAACAAACAGAGTGTGTGCACGTTTCAGATAATTCTCAGTGAAAAATGTTATGCATTCTTTTTATCTTTCATCATTTGTCTTTTTATTTAGTTTGTTCAATGCAAATCCATTCCATGAGGAGTTACAGTGAAATCAGAACATAAACACAAATACAGCATACAATCCAAGCAGCTGTACTCACTCGTTCAGGTATGAAGTCGAAGGGAGTGCTCATTCACATACTAGGTACTTCAGAGGTTTATTCCTGTGTAGGTTTTTGGGCAATGCTGGAGACCAAAGCCAAGGCCTTGTGTATGCTAGAGGCCTTCTACCACTTCTGCTATTAAACTACCTCTAGCTTTTATATCTTCAAGTCTTGCTATGTAGATTACATTTGCTTTAAACTCTTGTCCTCCTGAGTGCTAGGATTAAGGGGCTGATCCACCCAGACACACCTCCTGTATGTATTTCTTTTTTTCCTTCCTTCCTTCCTTCCTTCCTTCCTTCCTTCCTTCCTTCCTTCCTTCCTTCCTTCCTTCCTTCCTTCCTTCTTTCTTCCTTCTTTTCTTTTTAGAGACATGGTAGCCCTGGATGGCTTGGAACTCACAGAGATCTGCTTGCGTCTGCCTCTTAAATGCTGAGATTAAAAACATATGCCACCATGTCCAGCCTGTGTTTGGAGAAAGATGGCTTTGGTTATCAAGGGTACTGTAGCCACATCAGACAACAGAATATCTAAGGATCAATGTGTGGCCATGCAAAAGGAGGTTTCAGAGAAGGTTGATTTTTTGAGATGGGATCTTACCATGTTGCCCATGCTGTCTTGAACTGGGCTAAAGTAATATTCCTGCCTCCACAGTAGCTTGGACTGTAGGCTTGTGTAGTGTGCCCAGCTTTGAGTGTATCAAAGCAGTTTTAAAAGATTTACTGCAGTCATGTATGGTGCACACACTAATCCCAGCCCTGAGGAGGCAAAGGCAAGTGGAGGATCTCTTTGAGTCCAAGGCCATCCTGGTCTACATTGTGAGTTCTTGGCCAGCCAGAGCTACCCAGTAAGACCATGCCTCAAAAAAACAAGAACAAAATAAAACAACAACAAAACTAAACCCCAAAGTATTTACTGCAGAATGAAGCCCATTTCTTAGACTCTGGGCTATATTTTATCTGAAAATATTCCTAACAAAAAGTGTTCCAAATGAGGCTACTCTGACGCACAGGATTCAACATAGCCAAACCCCAATAGGCTCATTTACATATCTGCCTTTCAAATTTCAAAATGTGTAATTTTACCTCCAAAATGGAGCATATTTTTTAATTGCAAAACTACTTGACATATTCGGAAAAATTTAAATGCATTTTAAAGTTAGCTGAGGTCAATGCGCTTCTACTCTCTGGAATCACAGGAAGAGTAGGACTTTTGTTGAATGAAACCAGGTGATGGCAGTGCCTACCGTTCATGTGTGTATGGTGTACGTCTGTTTGAATGTGCATGTGGAGGCCTGAGGTTAACAAGAAAAGTCCTTTTCAGTTGCTCTCCACCTTATTCATGGAGGCAGGGTCTCTCAATTGGTCTTACTAGACAGATTGCTTTGGAAATCTTGCCTTCTGGGTGCTAAAATTACATGTGGACAGCCACACCTACTCATCACTTACTTGGGTTCTAGGGATTCAAACTCTGATCCTCACATTTCTGAGTGCTTTATCTACGGAGCTATCTCCTAGCCCTACTATCCACTTTATAAGCTATGATTTATTCATGGTGTTTAGATTTGAGGGTAGATTTCAGTCTATCATTCCCTTGATACATATCAAATGCAACACAAAAGGTCAAATGTAGGAGCTGAAGTGCTGGCTCAGTGGTTAAGAGCACTGCCTACTCTTTCAAAGGACACTCCCCAGTTCGATTCCCAGCATCCACATGTGGCTTACACATACCTGTAATTCCAGTTCCAGGGGATCCAATGTCCTCTTCCAGCCTCCACGGGCACCAGCCATACACATGGTAAACAGATACACATGCAAGCAAAACACCCATATACATTAAATAAATTTTAAAGTGTAAAGGTCAAATGAAATGTTAAATCTGAACCTGCAGAAGAAAGAAGCTCACTTTGCAAGACAACAGTGAGAGCTAAACAATGTGAAACTTTATACAAAAGCTGCCTACCATTAAATTAGCACCATGGTAAGCGGTGGTGGCGCATGCCTTTAGTCCCAGCACTCAGGAGGCAGAGCCAGGCGGATCTCTGTGAGTTTGAGGCCAGCCTGGGCTACCAAGTGAGTTCCAGGAAAGGCGCAAAGCTACATGGAGAAACCCTGTCTTGAAAAACAAACAAACAAAAAAAACCAAACAAACAAAAATTAGCACCGTGGACACAACATACTGAAATTTTATAGTAATTCCTTAAAGTCCCTTTTACTATACATATAATTATGGCTGTTTTATATTTTTTGTTTCATTTGTTTTGTGCACATGTGCGTGTCTTTGTGTTGCTATGGTTCAGAGGACAACTTTGGGTAGCTGGTTTGCTCTTTCCACTCTGCAAGTCCCAAATATCAAACTCAGGTAGGCAGGTTTGGCGGCAAGTGTCTTTCTGTGCTGATCCATCTCACTTGGCCTGGGAGCTTTTCCTATTGCTTGTTTTATGACCTTGTAGTTCATCTTGGTTCTCTGAAGTCTCTTACTTTCAAGATAGAGTTTTGTTTTATTTTGGGGGTAGGGTCTCAGTATGCAGCCCTGGCTGGCCTGGAACTTAACTATGTAGACCAGGCTGCCCTCAAACTCACCTGCTTCTGCGTCCCCAGAGCAGGAAGTAAAGGTGTGTGACACCACACTTGGTCAGAAAGTTTTTATTATCCATTTTTCTTGAGAAACATTTGATTTTCAAAGTCTCTCACTTTGTAACTGAAACTCTAGCAGACTCAATGATGGCATTTATCATCTGTCAAACCTTTCCCATGTCCTTCCTCCAAATCTCTCAAAGTTGGATTCTCAATGTTTTCTATGGCAACAAAATTAAATGTAGAATTAATATTTTCACATAGCTGTTTGTTCTCTGCCACAATCAACTCTGTTCGGTTTGGAAGCTGGGATATAAAGACGTTTCTTGGCCTGACTTGTTTCAGTACCAATGTAAGAAGGGAGAGACCATGAAGAGGCTGAGTTCACTACAGGGCTCTCTTGCTTGGCTCAGTGGCTTGTTGGATTCCCGGCAGCAGAAATATTTGGAGTAGTTATTTAAGTGTGTCACCAGCCACACTTGACTAAATCTGCATAGCAACCCCACTCAGGTCACAAAGGCTCTGCCTGTCCCCACAGACACACGGCATGTTTTGACTGGATGGAGGTCCGTGTAGAATCTTTGTCCTCGGTGGCCACAAGGGATGTGGACCCTATCCTTTTAATTGCTACTTTTTCTCCCTCCCCACCCCCCGGAGCTGAGGACTGAACCCAGGGCCTTGCGCTTACTAGGCAAGCACTTTACCACTGAGCTAAGTCCCCAACCCCTTAATTGCTACTTTTTCTATTGGATGACAGTCTACTATATTTTCCCCTTCACCTCTTTCCTTCCTTTCCTTTCTTTTCCTTCCTTCTTCCTTCCTTCCTTTTCTTTTTAGGTCTTTTGAGACAGGGTTTCTCTATAGCCTTAGGTGTCCTGGAAACTCGCTTTGTAGACCAGGCTGAACTTGAACTCACAGAGATCTGCCTGCCTCTGCCTCCTGAGTGCTGAGATTAAAGGTGTGTACCACCACTGCCTGGCCACCCCTTTCGATAGGGTCTCCTGTCTCTCAGGTTGGTACTGAACTCTCTATATAGGCAAAAATGGCCTTGAACATCTGCCTCTCCTCTCACATCCCAAGTGCTGGGATTACAGGTGTGAGGCAATGACCTGGTTACTATCTTTTTGTTTGTTTGTTTTTACAATGTCTCAACAAATCCTTGTTTTTTAGAGTCTCACTATGTAGCATAGTCTGACCTGGAACTTGTGATTGTCCTGTCTCAGCTTCCCAAGTACCAGTATTATAGGTACATGGCATGATGCAGAGCTCTGGATTCCCTTTTCAGAGATTAAAATGTCGACATGCATACATACTTCTACCTAATCAAGAAACTGAGGTAGACTAGTTTAGCTCAGGAGTTTGAGGGAAGCTTACCAAACAGAGTAAGACTGAGCCCCCCAAATAAATAAAAGCATACACACTTGGGGTTGGGGCTGTAGCACAGTTGATACCTTGCCTACTAAGTTTGAAAGTCTGGGAGAGGCCAAAGGAGAATCAGAAATTCATCCTCCATGGCACATGGGGTCAAGGATAGCCAGAGCTATATGAGACCCTTTTAAAAAACAAAAAAACAAAGAAAGAAACAAACAAATAAACAAAAAAACAAGGACAAAAGCTGATCTTTGGGTCCACCAATTTCATTATATTTGGGCTTAATTTTCTTCTGATTTATCATGTTTCAGGTTCATAGACTTTTTTCCCATTGAGATAGGGTCTCATGATATGGTCCAGGCTAGCCAGAAAGTTGTAACCATCCTGCCTCATCCTCTTGAGTGCTGAGATTACAGGCACCCACCACTACACTGAGCTCATTCTGGTTGTTTAAGTCCTATGAGGACTATAGATATTTGTTTAATCAGGCAACTCACAAAATTGGGTCTAGTACGCAAGTTTCCTTCATTTTTAAAATTACATTTATTGGAGGAGGTGGTAGCAGGTGCATTGTTGCCATGGCAATTCTCTTCTACCATCACGTGGGTTCTAGGAGTTGAACTCAGTCCAAGCATCTTTTACCCATGAAGCCATCCAGTAGTATGCAAGTTTAATGAACATTCTGTGGGCTGTGGTTTTGATGTGAATTCTAATTTCAAAGCCTTTTTAGAGCAATATTTTAGAAGGAGAAAGGAACCAGTAGCAGGAGAGATGGGAAGACAAAATAGGGAAATGAGAGTAAATATGAGCAAAGCACATGATGGACATGCATGAAAATATCCGAATGAAACCCATCATTTTGTTACTTTTTTTTTTTTTTTTTTTGCAGGATGGGGAAGCACATGTGTGGAAGTCAGGGGGCTACTTGATGATGTTGATTCTCTTCTTCCACCATGTGGGTCGAGATTGACCACTGGTCAACAGGCTTTAAGGCAAACACCTCTACCTATTGAGCCATCTTGTTGGCCTAAAACTCACCATTTTATATGATAATTAGACACATTTTAGTTTTATGTGCTGCAATTGATGAGAGTGAGTGTGTATGCACATGCTGTGACCAGAGCAGGACAAGTTGGATGAGCTCTTCCATCACTCTGTACCTTTAGTTTCTTGAGACAGGGTTTCTCACTGAATTGAAAGCTCACTTGTAGAGTAGCCTGGGTGGCCAGTGAGCTCTCAGGATCCACCTGTCTCCACCCCCAATGCTGGGGTTAATCATGTGTACAGCCACACTCATCATTTTATGCATGTGCTGAGATTTAAACTCAGGTACTTATGCTTGCAGAACAAGCAATCTTACCAATTCAGTCATCTCCTAGCCTCTACTATTTTTATAAAATGCCTCTTCAGTGCCATTCATATCCCTACTTGAGGCTAGATTGTATGGAAGGTGGTATTCTAAGGTTCCAGTGTGTCTCATGGCTACAAAACTACCTGAAGGTTGGGGACATGTAAATGACAGGGGGAAGGCATGTCTTTCTCAATGGGCATTAAAACAACCTCGTTCAGCTGGGTTATGGTGGTGCACTCCTTTAATCCCAGCACATGGGAGGCCGAACAGGTGGATCTCTGAGTTTGGGCCAGTCTGGTCTACAAAGCGAGTTCCAGGACATCCAGGGCTACACAGAGAAACCCTGTCTTGAAAAACAAAAACAAAAACAAAACAACAACAAACAATCAAAACCCCCAAACACCCCCTTCCACTGCTTTCGTCTGAAATGGAGGTACTATGAGTATTTTATGCCTACAGAGAGAAGAATAAGATTAGACATAAATTCTGTCAGCAGTAGACAAGTATACAAAAGTGAAACTATGACTAAATCCCAGCATTTAGAAAGAGAAGGCAGGAGCTAGAGAGATGGCCCACCAGTTAAAAACATGCACTGCTCTTGCAAAGAACCCAGGTTCTGTTCTCAGCACCCATACTGGGTGGTTCAAAACTGTAACTCCAGCTCCATGGGATCTGATATCTATGGCCTCTGCTGGCACCTGTACTCACCCACACACAGACAGCACACCTATACATAATTAAAATTAAAAAAAATTTATTATTTTTATTTCATTGGTGTTTTGTTTGAACGTATGTCTGTGTGAGAGTGTTGGATCCTGGAGTTACACGCAGTTGTGAGTTGCCATGTGGGTGCTGGGAATTGAACCCAGGTCCTGTGGAAGAGCAGTCAGTGCTCTTAACCACTGAGCCATCTTTCCAGCCGCTGCTTGTTTTTTGAGACAGAGTTTCACTATGTAGCTCTGGCTGTCCTGGAACTCATTATGTAGAGTAGGCTAGCCTTGAACTCACAGAGATCTACCTGATTTTGCCTCCTAAGTATGGCAATTAAAGATGTGCACCACTATGCCTGGCCAAAACAAACAAACAAACAAACAAACAAAAAACCATTAAAAATGAAAGTAGAAGCAAGAAGATTACAAGTTCAATGTCATCCTGAGCTACACAGTGAGTTTCAGACCATCCTAGGGTACTGTCTCAAATAAGAGACTGCCCCCCCCCCAAAAAGTATAAAAGGCATTGCAACAGAACACATTTAAAGTTATCAAGAAAACTTCTAAAATTACAGAAATAGTTGGAGAAATCTGGGATGCCAAAATTAAGAAAACCTTAAGACACCATGACATGCAAACTTGTACAGCCACATGGAAATCAGTACGGCAGTTCCTCAGGAAGCTGGGAATAGATCTACCTTAAGATCCAGCGATCCCACTCTTGGGCATCTACCAAAAGGACTCTAAATCCTGTGACAGAGACACTTGCTCAACCGTGTTCATTGCTGCCCTATTCATAATTGCCAGAAATTGGAAACAATCTAGACATCCCTCAACAGATGACTGTGATAAAGAAAATGTGGAACATTTACACAATGGAATATTACTCAGCTGCTAAAAAACCAAAACAACAAAAAACAAACAATGAAATCATGAAATTCACAGGTAAATGGATATAACTAGAAAAAAAAAATCATCCTGAGGCAACCCAGACCCAGAAAGAGAAACATGGTATGTATTCTCTTGTATATGGACATTACCTGTTAAATAAATATTAACCAAGCTACAGTCCCTAGACCCAGAGAAGTATGGAGTAAAGGACTAGGGGGAGACACATGGATCTCCCTGACAGGGAAAATAGAATAGTTATAGATGGAGGGGGGCAACTGGAATGGGAACATCAAACAGGGAGCGCGAGGGAAGAATAAGGTAAAGGAAGGAATGTGGGGAGAGACTGTGGTGGTTTGAAAGAAAATGGCCCCCAAAGGGAGTGTCACTATTAGGAGGTGCAGCCTTATTGGAGTAGATGTGGCCTTGTTGGAGGAAGTAGGTCACTGTGGAGTCAGGCTTTGAGGTCTCATATATGCTCAAGCCACACCCAATGAGACAGTTCATCTCTGTTGCCTGTGGATCAAAGATACAGAATTCTTAGTTCCTTCTCTAACACTATGTCCTGTTTACCTGCATGCTGTCATGTCCAACCATGATAATGGACTGAACCTCTGAACTGTAAGCCACCTAATGAAATGTTTTCTTTTATAAGAGTTGCCATGGTGCCAGGCGGTGGTGGCTCACACCTTTAATCCCAGCACTTGGGAGGCAGAGCAGGTGGATCTCTGTGAGTTCGAGGCCAGCCTGGTCTACAGAGCAAGATCCAGGACCAGCACCAAAACTACACAGAGAAACCCTGTCTCAAAAAACAAAACAAAACAAACAAACAAAAAATAGTTGCCATGGTCATGGTGTCTCTTCACAGCAATAGAAACCCTAACTAAGACAGACAGCTAAAACTAACAGCGATTTGAGGGGTCATAAGGAAAACTAATACAGTAGAAGCTCCTTAAGATATATAATTATATGAATATATATGATATATATATATATGAATGGAATCGCCAGATAACTGGGGAGACAAAGCTGCAACTACAAACCTCTTTTCACTAAATGAAACTTCAAGTTTTGAGAATGGGTTACATCTAATCAAGTTGTTAGACAAGAGCTGCATGGAAACCCCCAAACCCAGGCTATTGCCAAGGCTATTGGTTGCTCTCCAGAAACTGATAGTAAGGCCTTATTGCTGAAGGCAATACCTACATAACTCACTGAACACGGAGAAGTGGAGCTGGCACCTACTTAGAGCCTTCACTCCTACTGACCAGTGTTCCTGGTACTGGAAGATAACTCTGCCATCCTACCAAGGGATAAAGGTAACCACCAACCCAGCTACAAACACTTCAGTCTACAATGGTGACCTTTGGCAAGATACATTGGTGTAATAGTGGACAAGCTTTTGGGGTAACCAACCAGTATCTGACTGGATTGAAGGCCTACTCCATGAGATGGAACCCATGCCCAACACTGCTTTAGGTGGCCAAGAACTTGAAACTAGATAGGCCATGGACTTGGGTGAAAACCAAATACTACTGTTCTGCTACAGGAATGTAGCAATAAAACAACTCCTAACAACATTTGGCTATACTTAAAGATCAGTGTCTTGGGCTGGAGAGATGGCTCAGAGGTTAAGAGCACTAGCTGTTCTTCCAAAGGTTCTGAGTTCAATTCCCAGCAACCATATGGTGGCTCACAACCATCTGTAATGAGATCTGGTGCCCTCTTCTGGCCTGCAGGCATGTAGGCAGAACACTGTATACATAAATAAATAAATCTTTAAAAAAAAGAAAGAAAGAAAAAGAAAAATACTTTATAAAAAAAAAAAAAAGATCAGTGTCTTGCTCAGCCATCATCAGAGAAGCTTCCTCCTGCAACAGATGGGAACAGAGACCCACACCTGGACAATGTGCAGAGAGGGAGAGAACTTGCAATTCTCAGGCCTAAATAGGATGCCTCCATCAAATTCCTCCTCTCAGGGGATTGAAGAACACCAAGGTCTTCTAAACACAGAAGGAATGATACACATATAAACTCACAGAGACTGTGGCAGCATGCACAGGGCCTGCACAGGTCTAAGCCAGATGACATCTGTCCCAGTGCTGAGAGGTTAAGTGGACACAAGCCCCCATCCCTAACATAAGCTGTTTCCAATTGTTAACTGCTCCCAAAGGAAAAATGAGTTTTCTCCAATGGAGTCTCACTGGGCACACAAACCACTCTAAGGGTCAGACTTCATGCCCAGCAGTAGATGCCAACACAAAACAAACCCAGTTGCATTATTGGAGAGTTGTTTTTGCCCCATCTTAAAGGTCTTCGAATATATATTGGTTTCCAATTTTGTTTTTATGGAACTTCTATGTGTGACAGTGCCTCTCTCTGCATGTATGTTTCTTGTGCCTTTTCTTTAGCTCTTTTTCTTCTTATGTTTGCTTGTTTATATTACATCTTATTTTTTATTGTTACTTTTTAGGTGCTTTTTTGATTTTGCTTGAGACAGGGTCTCAATATGTAACTATGGCTGTCCTGGAACTCAATATGTAGAGCAGGCTGGCCTCAAACTCACAGAGATCCTGAATGCTGGGATTAAAGGCATGTGCCACTACTTCCATCTGAATGGGAGGGGAGGTGGGGAGGAAGGAGCTGGAGGAGGGAAACCTTAATTAGAATATATTGTATGAAAAAAATTATTTTCAATTAAAAAATAAGAAAAAAATGAATGAAAACTTATAAGACAGAAACTTTTACAACATCCCTCCCCGCCCCTGCATCTTCAAAATTTTAAATGTTGTGGTTTAATCCTTGTACATTAGAGGCTGAAGGTGGATAGCATGAGTTCCAGGGCAGTCTGAACTATACAGCCAGACCATATTATCAGAAAGGGTGTGTGGGGAAATGTGGAGCTAGGGATATAGCTCAGTGGTAGACTGACTTCCAATAAAAATCAATTAAAGGCATAAAGGGGACTCCAAGATGGCTCAGCATGAAAGGACACTTGCATGACAACCTGAGTTTTATTCCTAGAATGCATATGGTAGAAGAATTGCCTACTACAAGTTGTCTTCTGCTATAAACCATGAAAGTGCTACCTTCTATAAAATAAAAATGTACGAGAGTAGCAGCTGTACCCCAGGCACTGCCCAAAGCACAACAAACAATACATAAAACACCAACTAGGAAGAGATGGTTGTTATGAATATCTATGGGAAGTCATAATGGTGCCTGACTAAATGAAGTTTCTTATGCATCATACTGAGAAAGGACAGAGTATGACACACCATCCAGACCTACAGAGGCAAAAACAGAGTGACAGGAGGCTGGCATGTAAGTAAGCAAAAAAGTATTAGCTACAATACTTATTGAAATTTCTGCCAGGAATGAAAAAGTATGGCTGGGAAAAAATTCTTTAAGATCAATTACTGTGAATAATTCTAATGAGTAAGAATATAGATGATGCCTTTTCCTCTTCAGCTTTGATCTACATTGATTTAGGACATGGGACATACAGGCTTGGTGGGTTCCCAGAAAAGAATAGGGTTTGGGACTCTGGATTGGTTGATTTTCTTTTTAAGAAGATTTCATTATTTATGTGTCTGTATGTGCACATGGGTATCCAGAGACCAAAAGAGGGAGTCTGATGCCTTGGGGCTTGAGTTACAGGCAGTTGTGAACATCTCAATGTGAGTGCAGGGAAATAAACTCTGGTCCTCTGTAATAGCAGCAAGTTTTCTTAACCACATAGCCATTTCTCCAGCCTCCAATTGTTTTGAATATGAAAAGTATGGGCCAGTGAGATGGCTCAGTGTGTAAAGGTGCTTGCCAAGCCATGCCTGACAATCTGAGTTTTATCCCTGGGACCCACATGGTAGAAGGACTGAACTGCAAGTTGTCTTCTACTCTTCATATGTGCACTGTGACATGTATGCTTATCCCACTCCCAATACACATATACACATAGAAAACAACCACAAATTTATAATGACTATAAAACATATGTTCCAAGCATTTGAGCTATTTGTAATCTTGAGGAATTACCAGAACCTGGGAGGGATTGTATTATGATTCGGATCTGAAATGTACTCCAAAAGTTCATATACTGAAGACTTGGTCCCCAGGGCTGTAGTGTTCACAGTGTGGGATATAAGAGATACCTGGATCATGAGGGCTCTGGCTTCATCAATGACTGATCCATTTATGAAGTCACAGCTTAATGTGTTTTGGGAAAAGGACTTTGCTAGTTTGCTTGCTTGCTTGCTGCTTATTTATTTACTTATTTATTTATTTTACCTTTTACCTAAAAGTTGTGAAAGAGGAACAAGGACATTTTAAAGACCATGAGAACTGTATTATGAAATTTAGCTACTGTAAGTTATTATAGGGTAGCATGTTTAATAGTATGATAAGCCAACTAGAGAATCTACACTATACTAAAACAATGTTTATATTCCAAAAGTCCTCATATCACCAGCTTGCTACCCAGAAGTTGTAACAACCAAGATGAAATGGTGCTTAGAGGAAAGAAAATATATCACTCTAGGAATATCAGGACAGATATCAGAAGTTCAAAATAAACAGTATCATCCAACAGGCCTTACTGCTGCCAGCAATACTACATTTCAGGGCACATGAACAAAATTTCCATATAGTTGATTTCTCTTGGGTATGAATTATAATGTTTACTAAACACTGAGGATTAAGTTCATGTGACTTTCTAACATTCCTTACCTTCAAAGTTTTCTCAACTGTTGGAACAAATGAATTAAAAATACTTAGCAGAACTACAACCTTCTGTATGCCTACATCAGTGTATTTCCCTTCATTGTGAAGTCTCACATATTTAGTAAGTTCCTAGGAAATAGTGTGGGCTTTAATATTTCTTTCCTTACATTCATGGGACATCTTGAGTATGGGTTCTTTCATGTTTTCAAAATAAACTGTCATAAATGGGGGTTGTTCCACATTAGTTTCTTAAAATTCTAAGTTCCAGTATGATGGAATCAAGACATGAGGGATTAAGGATTTTTGGCATTCCTCCTATCTGAAGTGATTCTGTTCACTGTGAGTTACTAGTGTTTGGTTAGTAGGTAAAGTCTGCTGTAGGCTTCCCTACATTCTCAACAAAAGGTTTCTCTCTAGTGTGGATTTTTACATGGTGAATGAGGTTGGAGGATGAAGTGAAGGTTTTCTCACATTCCGTACACTCATAGGGCCTCTCACCAGTGTGAGTTCGGATATGTTCAGTTCGGCTTGAGGAAGTAGTGAAATCTTTCCCACAGTACTTACACTTATAGGGTTTTGTTCCGGTGTGAATACGAATGTGTTTAGTAAGGTATGAAAAATATTGAAAGGATTTCCCACACACATCACATTCAAATGGCTTTTCTACTGTGTGAGTTTTTAAATGGTCATGTAGCAGATTGTACCTACGATAGGCTTTCCCACAGTCTTTACACTCGTAGGGTTTGTCTCCAGTATGAATGGTCAGATGTTTGCGTAGGTACGAGGAGTTGAGGAAGGCTTTCCCACATTCCTTACATATACACGGTCTCTCTCCACTGTGAGTTCGTAAGTGTCTACGCAGGTATGAGGAAGCATGGAAGACTTTCCCACATTCACCACATATATGAGGCATCTCTCCACTGTGAGTTTTTCTTATATGGTTATGTAGGTATGAGGAATTGAGGAAGGCTTTTCCACATTCCTTGCATATGTAGGGTCTTTCTCCACTGTGAGTTCTCACGTGTCTACGTAGATTTGAGTAAGAATGGAAGGCTTTTCCACATTCTCCACATATATAGGGTCTCTCTCCACTGTGAGTTCTTCCTATGTGGTTCCGTAGGTATGAGGAAGTGAGGAAGGCTCTTCCACATTCCTTACATATGTAAGGTCTCTCTCCACTGTGAATTCTTATATGCTGACTAAGGCGTGGGGATGAAGCAAAGGCTTTCCCACACTCTTTACATGCAAAGGGCTTCTCTGAAGCATGGGTTGATATATGTGTTATAAGGCCTGACCTCTTAGCAAAAGCTTTCCCACAGTCCTTGCATTTATATGGTTTCTCTCCAGTATGAGTTCTAAAATGTTCCACTAGCCTTGAGTAGGTAGTGAAGGCTTTCCCACATTCCTTACATTCATAGGGTTTTTCTCCAGTGTGACTTCGTAAGTGTCTATTAAGATTTGAAGAACGTCCAAAGGCTCTTCCACAAATCTTACATGGATATGTTTTTATGGTGTGCACTTGAACAGAGGCATCAGGACTTGAGTGTGTAAAATGTTCAGTGTTGCAAGTACTGTGAGTTTTCATATGTGTCTTGAAATATGAATGCTCACTGAAGATTTCTCCACATTGTATATAGTTACAGAGTTCTTGTGCACTATGGCTTCTGACCTGTTGATAAAGGGATGATTTATGGTTAGAAAAATTTTCAGACCTATTGAAGGACTCCATTAAGTAAGGGCAGAAAAATTATGATTATTTTTGCCATTTTGACTACATCCAATACTCCTATCCTAAAGTCTAGAACCATCAGTTTTAATTTGGAAAGATGCCTCAGTATTTTAGTATTTTTTTAAAATAATTTTTTAAAATTTTATTTTATGTGCATTGGCATGAAAATGTCAGATACCAGGGAACTGGAGTTACAGACAGTTGTGAGATGCCATGTGGGTGCTGGGAATTGAATCTGGATCTTCTGGAAGAGTATCCAGTGCTCTTAACTGCTGAGCCATCTCTCCAGCCCCTGAGCCATATCTCCAACCCCGTAGTTTTATTTTTGAGACAGGGTCTTACTATGTAGCCATGGCTGGCCTGACGCCCAATATGTAGAGAAGGCTGGCTTTAAACTCATAGAGATCCACTTGCCTTTGCCTTCTGTATACTGGAATTAAAGGCATGTGCTACCACACCTGATCTCTTGTCCTTCTTCTTCTTCTTCTTCTTCTTCTTCTTCTTCTTCTTCTTCTTCTTCTTCTTTTTCTTCTCCTTCTCCTTCTTTCTTCTTCTTCTTCTTCTTCTTTTTAGAAGATGCCTCTCTCTTAAATAGCTCTAGTTCTCCTAGAACTTGATATATAGACCAGGCTAGCCTCAAACTCAGAGATCTACCTGCCTCTGCTTCCCAAGTGCTTGGATTAAAGGTGTGCACCACCACGTCTGGCTTGGCCTCAGTATTTTAATGAAATTATTTTAAGAACATCAGAAATCAGTAATATATATGCAGGAATGTGTACTTAGAAGGACTCTATCACCCCAAGTTTTGGCCTACACTCTAAGACATTTCTCTTAATAGGACGGATATTACTTCTCTTATGTATTTATCATTTGTGTTGATTTTCTACAAAATTCCCAATCTTTTCCGAGTGTGGTAAATAAGAAATCTGGTTAATATCATCAACACTGTTCTCTCTTTTTGATAAAGGAATGAATTATGAAGTATGTTTAACTTTTTTATAGCATGTTTAGAATTTCTGCCATGTTTTCTTTCAAATTGAAAAATGCAACTGTAGTTTCCGTTTGGGTTAAGCTCAAAATAATTGTTAAGATATGCACAAAAGTGCTGTAAAAGCTAGTATCTAGTTACACATGTGGGGCCAGGTACTTGCGGAATTTCTTTCTTTTTTAGTTATACTGGGTGAGGTATATAGATCTTACTGAGTTTGAGGTCTTCCTCGTCTACACAGTGAATACCAGGCCAGCCAGGCCTATGTGAGATCCTGTCTCAAATAAATACAATAAACAAATAAAATTACATTTATTTATTTTGCAGCAGTGTGCACCAAGAGGTAAGAGGACAACCTGTGAGAGTCAATTCTCTCCTCCTACCATGTGGGTACTGTGGATCAAACTCAAGTTGTCGGACTTGAAATCAAGAGCTTTTACCATTGAGCCATCCTGGCCAGAGGGATCTCTTAAAGAAAAGGTTTTATGATAGGTTTGGGACACCCAAAAATTCCTTATATTCAAAATACTTCTAAGATACACTGCTGCTCCCTCCTGGTGCATGCTATTTGGTTTTCTCTACCGCCTATGAATGAGGGAAATAAATATCTCTGGCCAATCTTACTGTTTGTATTCCACTGGAAGTCTGTCCCCTCAAAAAATCCTGACGCAATGTTGACTCTTTGGTGCCAAGTGGCATTTCCCATTCTGAAGATAAACAGAAAAACAAAATTAAGAGTTGGAGAAAAATAAATGGTCAGTTACAAAGTTAAAAGACATACAGGTTTTTTGATTGTTCCCACTGAACCTGGCTAAGAAGAAAAAAAAGTGTAATCATTTTGACCAGGTCAATAAAATGACTACACTAAGGATGTGAGTTTTAAATGTTTTATTTCAAACTGACTCTTTGAAAATTAAAACTCATGGCAAACAAGAACTATACTATTAGGGCTGTGAAGTAGCAAAGATCTGAGCAAAGAGTATATAAGACCATAAACATAAAACACAATAGGTCATTTTGCAAAATTACAGGAAAACCTGCGAAGGCAAAAAATAAGTGTATGAAGCAGAGGCTTTTGTACCTTTTCAGGTACATGGCCCACACATAAAGCCATCAAATGCATCTTTAAAAGATTTCACTTTAATTCTAAATACATTCTTCACAAACTCACCTTGGAGATCTTCTCTGTGCAAATCCTCTTCTTCCAACCAGGAGATCAGACTGGGTTTGATGACCTCACATCCTTATACATGGCAAAGTGCATTCATGGAGGAAGTTCATGCAAAAGAGTATAAAAGTCAGTATAATTCAGGAGCTGTTTGGTTTTTTGTTCTGTTCTGTTTTGCTTTGTTTTTGGTCAGGGTATCACTATGCAGTCCTAGAACTCGATATGTAGACCAGGTTGGCCTCAAACTCACAAAACACTGCCTGTCTTCCTCCTGAGTACTTCGATTAAAGGTGTGTACCTTGGGCTGGAGAGAGGGCTCAGCGGTTAAGAGCACTAGCTGCACTTCCAGAGGGCCCGGGTTCAATTCCCAGTACCCATAACTGTCTGTAACTCCAGTTCTAGGGCATCTGACACCCTCACACCAATGCACACAAAATAAAGTTAAATAAATTATTTAAAAATTAAATAAAGGTGTGTGCCACCATGCCAGGACATGAAGCTGTGCTTCTAATGAAACAGGGCAATTATTTCAGAAAGGTTAAACAAGCAAATACTGCCTCTTCTATGCCCTGATGATTAACTACTGCTGAACTGACACCCCAATGATGATTATATACAGTCTAAGAAAACACTAATACTTCAGGTCAAATAGAAAGTAAAGTGAAACAAAGATAATTTTACTTTCAAACAGCAGGCTACATAGCATCAGATTCATCTAGGTTAAACTCACATAAGTAGGATGTACTTTGAATTTCTGACTTAGTATGTCAAAGGAAGAAAATGACTACATTTCTATATTCTTCTTTCTCTCACTTTTTTGCGGGACAGGGTAGTGATGGGGATTATACACAGGGACTTGCATAGAACACCTAGCTACTTCCCAGCTCAATAAGTTTGATTTTTTAAAATTTATTTATTTATTTTGAGACAGGGTCTCACTATGAGCTCTAGCTGTCCTGGAATTCATTATGTAGACCAGGCTGGCCTTAAACTCACAAAGACACATCTGCCTGTGCCTCTCAAGTGCTGGGATTAGAGCTATGCACCACTATGTCAAGCCAATAATTTATGTTTCTAACAAGGTGATTGGTAGTGATGCCATTCACATGATACAGCATTTTGCGAACCACCATAGAAAATTAAAAGGCACAATGGCCCCTACTTATTCAAGGTTTCATTGTCTGTGGTTAGTTACATACTACCCACCTGTCCTGGAAATATTAAATAAATTTCCAGAAAAGATTCATATAAAATTGCACACCATTTTGAGTAGCATTATAGAATCTCACACTATTCCTCTGTTCTACCTTGGATGCAATCATCCTTTGCCCATCAAAGCCACACTCCATCAGCTACCTGCTCCACGTCATTTAGCACCTTTCTGAGTAGCTTGCTTGGTGCAATACAGTAAAACTTGCCAGACATGGTGGCACAAACCTTTAATCTCAGCATTTGCACTTGGGAGGCAGAGGCAAGTGGATCTCTGTGCATTCAAGGCCAGCCTGGTCTACACAATGAGTTCCAGTTCAGCCATGGCTAAATAATGAGACTGTCTCAAAACAAAACAAAAAACAGTACAGCGACACTCATGGGGCTCATGGAGCTCTCATTTTACTAATGGCCTCAAAACAACAGTAGTCATGATGGCAACTCAGATATGCCAAAGGGAAGTTGTAAAGTGTGGACGGGAAACCTGCATGCTGAGATGCTGAGGTTGCTATTCTCTACTCTTAGCAGTTCTCTCTCTCTCTCTTTCCTTTTTTTGTTTTTTCAAGACAGGGTTTCTCTGTGTAACAACCCTGGCTGTCCTATAGACCCTACAGACCAGGTTGGCCTCGACTCACAGAGATCCATCCGCCTGCCTCTGTCTCTGAGTGCTGGGATTAAAGGCGTGTGCCACCACACCCAGCTCAGGAGTTTTATTTCTTTTTTTTTTTTTTTTTTGGTTTTTCGAGACAGGGTTTCCCTGTGTAGCTTTGCGCCTTTCCTGGAACTCACTTGGTAGCCCAGGCTGGCCTCGAACTCACAGAGATCCACCTGGCTCTGCCTCCCGAGTGCTGGGATTAAAGGCGTGCGCCACCACCGCCCGGCCTAGGAGTTTTATTTCTTGTTTGAGTGTTTTGCCTTGTATATGTATATGTGTACTATGTGCATACAGTGCCCCAGAGGCCACAAGAGGCAGCCAATCTCTGGAACTGAACTTACAGGTAAGGTTGTGAGCTGCTATTTGGGAGCAGAGAACCAAACCTGGGTCCTCTGCGAGAGTAACAAGTGCTCTTAACTGTTGAGCTATCTCTTCAGCCTAATGCTAAATCTACTCCCAGGCCAGACTTCCAAGAAGTCTCCAGCCAGATGTTTATGGTACATATCTGTAATCCCAGCACTTGGTAAGTGGAGACAGGAAGATCAGAAGTTCAGGGTCAACCTTAACTACAATGAAATCTTATTTCCAAAAATTAAATCTCTAATCTGTGAAATCAGGAAAAAGTAACTCAAAATATTCAGTTCAGTTCATTTCCATCTAGTTCTAGACATCCACTGGGAATCTTGGATCTTTTCTTCCACAGACAGACTATGGTACTAGGACACAGTCTGTGTGTCTCCTACTTTCCATTGCATTCTGATCCCTCAGGACACCCAGGATATACCATCCCTCCCCTCCCTAAGAAGCCATAAGGAGCCGTGGCAGTCCTACCCGCTGAGGCCAGGTTCTGGTAGTTCTCCAGCATCACCTCTCTGTAGAGGTCTCTGTGAGCTTGATCCAATAAAATCCACTCTTCTTGGGTGAAGTCCACAGCCACATCATCAAAAGTTACCGAGACCTAAATCACACACACACACACACACACACACACACACACACACACACACACACACACAGAGTTTGAGTAAACAATAACATAGGCACCAATGTTCTCTACAGTCGAAGAAGTGAGACCCAACACCCATACAGAAATCTGAGAGCTTCCATTGACTGCCCCAGGGCTTAGTGGTCCCAATACCCCTGCCCACACCTACACTTAACTTGTTGATATGTTCCAGTCATTTACTAATAATGACCCTCTGACAGGTGAACAAACCTTGCCACAACCAGACTAGAAGCCCTTTTCTCAATTTCTTAAAATGTACTTCTAAGCACACTACACGTTACCTTAACAGTGATAAATACTACTACAAAAAAAAAAAAAAAAAAAAGGACACTAGATCTTCTTTATCATCTGTCAGAATAACTGAACTGGACATAATTAATGTGCATTTGGCATCATGAGTGTCAAGATTAATTAGTAATTATTGAAATCCTGGGATGATTTTCAGGTAATACCTCAACCATATCAGAGTCCCCACTCTCTCAGAAATTCCGCTAGGTACTCAGTTCTTCAGGGGCTTCTACTTGTTTTAGAAGCTCTGGACGTAAGTCTGCCCTGAAGAACGTGTATCTGCAAGGTAGGGGTAAGCATGCCACCTGTGGGACACAGTTCCTACACACCTGGTAACAATTTGTCAGGCAATCAGCCACCATCTTTTCTACCGTTATCTTTTCTTCAAGAACGGCGTCTGAGTCCCTCCAGGGAGTTCCTGGAAAAGACAAAAGACATGAGAGCCCAGAGCTGCCTTCTTATACATCCTGACTCATTCTGTCTGCCATATCTCCTTTTCTGTGGCTGTGATAAAATACTCAGACAAAAGCAACTTACGGAGAAGGGGCTTATTCTGGCTCACAGTTTCAGGGTACAGCCCAGCATATTGTGGTGGGAAGGTAAAGGAGCTCAGAGCAACGGTCACATCACAGCCACAATCAGGAAGCAGAAAAGCAAGGGATGCATTGCTCAGCTCACTCTCCATCTTATACAGTCCAGGATCCTTGCCGAAGTTAAGATGGGTCTTCCCCCATAAATTAACCTAATCAAGATAATCCCTCACAGACATTCTCAGAGGTTACCCTTAATCTAGATAGTATCTCAAAGGTGTGCCCAGAGATCTGTCCCCTAGGTGGTATTAGAACCTGTTGACAATTAACAATAACCATTACACAACCCTAATATGAAACCCATGCAATCCTGCACACCTGAGAAAACTCACCCATAGATACAAACATGATGCTAGAGCAGTCAGTCCTGTGACACCCAGAAGCAGGAAACGAGTGGGCGGACCATGCTGCGCACTGGGAAAATGTCTCATAGGGAAGACAACTTCAAGTCAGAGAGGTGACACTTGATTTTCCCCTAGTAATATATTTCATGAGGATTATATAGAACTTTTCAAAACACACATATAAGGAAGGCGTCAGACTTACCATCTGCATTATTATGGTTTGGGTACTGAAATGTTCTCACAAATTCATGTGTTGACTATGCAATATTCCTTTACACTGTGTAAATATATGTCACTGTGACTGGTTTAATAAAAAAGCTAAACATGTGAGTTCAAGGCCGGCCTGGGCTACCAAGTGAGTTCCAGGAAAGGCGCAAAGCTACACAGAGAAACCCTGTCTCGGAAAACCAAAAAAAAAAAAAAAAAAAGCTAAACAGCCAGTAGCTAGGCAGGATTTTCAGGGCAGAGAGAATGCTGGGGAAGAAGGGCGGAGCCTCAGGAGTCACCAGCCAGTCGTGGAAGAAGCAGCACAGAGAGTACACAGACGAGGCAAATGAGCCTTGGGACAGCATACAGATGAATAGAAATGGGTTGATTAGGTCATAAGAGCTAGCTAAAAACACACCTACGCTATTGGCTGGGCTTTCATAATTAATAAGAAGTCTCCGTGTGGTTATTTGGGAGCCAGCCATCCCAGTGAAAAACTTCACCTACAGTTGATAGCTTGGTAATACAGCAGTGTACACGTCCTTTGGTAGGTGACTGGGTCATGAGAGATCACCAGTTGATTAAACAATTGATTAACTATGGATGCATAACTTAATGGGCCATTATGAGGTATCAGAATTAGGGTGTGGGACCTAGATGGAAGAAGTAGGTCACTGAGGATGTGTTCCCAAAGAAATTATTTTTTTCTGCACTCTTTCTCTTGCTGTTTCTGCTTCCTGGCTGCTGTGGGGTGGGCAGCTCCGTTTCACAGTATCTGTCCCACCATGATGTTCTGCTCAGAAACAGGGTCAAGCGAACTTTGATGAAAACCTCTGAAGCTCAGAGCAATAAACTTTTTCCCTTATAAGATGCTGGTGTCAAGCTTTTCTTTGTTTTGATACAAGGTCTCATATAGTCTAGGCTGACCTCAAGCTTGATGTGTAGCCAAGGATAAACTTGAATTCCTAATCATCCTACCTTACCTCTCAAGTGATGGAATTACAGGTATGCACTACCATACATGGTTTATGTGGTGCTGTATGAAACCAAGGTCTTTGGGCATACTAGGCAACTGATCTACCAACTGATCCCAGCCCCAGTCACAATTTTATCACAGTGACAGGAAATTAACATGAGCATTTACTAGTCTACTAAAAGGTAAACTAAGCAGAGTAGTATGACTGTTCAGGCTGGGATCATAGGAATCTTTATTATTCAGGGGACTTAAATCAGATTCCCTGAAAAGGAACGACAGGTCTGGCAATGGAAAACATCAGCAGTTGCCATCCTGAAGGTGGCACTGCCCATATGCTCCTTTTTCCATGCTAAGGCAACCTCACTTAGGTATCTCAAGGGATGGTGAAACGCAACACTTTATTCGGGGTTATCAGGAGCCTGCTCCTACCAATCATCAAAAAGCAATAGTTCATTATCATACATGAGCTCACTTTCCACATATGATGTAAGTAAAAGCTACTAAAGGCAATGCACCTTGTTTTTTTGAAGATTTATTTATTATGTATACAATGTTCTGTCTGCATGTATGCCTGCAGGCCAGAAGAGGACACCAGATCTCATCACAGACTGTTTTGAGCCACCATGTGGTTGCTGGGAATTGAACTCAGGACCCTTGGAAGAGCAGACAGTGCTCTTAACCGCTGGGCCATGTCTCCAGCCTGGCAGTGCACCTTGTAATGGAGTATTATTAACAACACTGTCATTTACTGAAGACCAATGTGTGAACATGCAATATACCTATATTTATATATAAACTGGTTGATTATTATTTTTAAAACTAATTACATTTTATTTTGTATATAGAGGAGTGTCCACCTTGCACATGTGAAAGTCAGAGAAAACTTGGTTCTTTCCTTCCACCATATGAATTTGGGGGATTGAACCCAGGTCATCTGGCATGGGGCAAATGCTTTTACCAGACGAATCATCTTGCTGGTCCTATATAAACGTATTTAATTACTTCACCAACCCTTCACAGTAGGCATAATGGAAAAACAGGTCTAGACACTGCAAGTAACTGTTTAAATATGTTAGTTACATAGTGGTGAATTTAGACTGAATGCAGGAAGTTGTTGCAAACTTCTCATCTTCTGTCTGTCATGTTTTATTTTCTAAGACTGGAACTAGAGATTCTCCTGCCTCAGTTTCCAAGTACTGGGATTAAAGGCATGCGCAGCCACGCCTGGCCTTAATCTCCTGTGATTGTCATTCTTGCCTCAACAGGCTCAGAAGTACAGCCGAGACCTGTACTGTACAATATAATATAGTAGTGACTTCCACAACTACGGCTGATCACTTCTATGAAGTCATGATTTTTTTTTTTTTGGAGACAAAAATCTCATGTAGCCCAGGCCGGTCTTGAACTTGCTATAAGACTGAGAATGACTTTTAACTCCTGATCCTCCTGTCTCCACCTCCCAAGTATTAGAATTACAAATATGTAATACCATACCTAGCTTGAAGTTAATATTTCTAAAGGTCTGGTTTGTTTGTTGGTTGGTTGTTTAAGACTAACCTAGAATTTCAGATGTAGAACAGGCTAGCTTCAAACTCACAGAGATCCATCTGCCTTTGCCTCTCAAGTCCTGCCATACCCAGGTGAACTATAATTTTACGGTGTCCTGATTGACTGGTGTTTTTGTTGTTATTGCTATTGTTTGGCAAAGTACTCAGAGTCCCGTCCATGCTAGGCAGGCACTACTGCTGAGCTATACTGCCAGGCTCCAGTTCACCTTTAACATGTCTTACCTCACAGATGGACCAACTGAAGAGCAGGCCAACCCAGTGGTTATTTTCCTACTTCCTACATGTGTAACTATATATAGACATTCTTGGCAGCTGGCAGAATCCCTTCAATTAGCTGTCTGGCATATAAAGTGGAGGCTTTTATGATAGAAGCAAACAGAGCTGGGTGTGGTAGCCCACACAATCCACACACTTGGGAGGGTGAGGCAGAAGGATTACTACAAATTCCAAGCCAACTGGAGCTACATAGCAAGATCCCGTCTCAAAAACTGAAGAATCCCCTTCTCATGCTTCACAGAAATAGAAAAACAAACAAACAAAACCAACACCAAAACTACCTTAAAATTCATATGGAAACACAAAAGACCCTGAATAGCCAAACAATCTTAAACAAAAAGAACACAGAGTCAACAGTCATAAAAACAATATGGTACTGGCACAAAAACAGACATGGAGGGGGGCTGAAGAGATGCCTCAGCGGTTAAGAGCACCAGCTGCTCTTCCCAAGGACCCACGTTCAATTCCCAGCATCCACATGGCAGCTCAGCCATCTGTAACTCCTGTTCCAGGGGATCCAATGCACTCATACAGACATACCTGCAGGCAAAACACCAATGTACATAAAATAAAAATAAAAAATTATATTAAAAAGGACATGCAGACCAATGCAACAAAATCAAAGATCCAAACATAACTTCAGCATTTAATATTTGACAATGATACCAAAAACATAAGCTGAAGAAAAGAAACATCTTCAACAAATGGTGCTGGGGAAATTGAATGTCTGCATGTAGGAGCATAAAAGTAGACCCATATCTACCACCTTGCACAAAAACTAACTCCAAATGGATCAAAGGCCTAAACCTGAAACCTGAAATAGTGAAACTGTTAGGAGAAAACATAGGTATTACCCTATATCATATAAGCATAGGAAAAGACCTCCTGAGTAGGACTCCATTTGCGCAAGAATTAAGCTCAACAATTGCCAAAACTAAAAAGCTCCTGTGCAGCTAAAGAAACAATCAACTGGAGCCAGACAGATCTCTTCGAGTTCGAGACCAGCCTGGTCTACAGAGCGAGATCCAGGACAGGCACCAAAACTACACGGAGAAACCCTGTCTCGAAAAACAAACAAACAAACAAACAACAATCAACTGGGTAAAGAGGAAGCCCACTGAATGGGAAAGAATCTTTGCTCATTGGACATCTGACAGAGGATTAATACCCTGAATATATAAAGAGCTTAAAAAAAAAAGGAAGAAAGAAAAGAAAAAGAAAGAAAGAAACAAACAAAACAAACAAACAAAAAACCCACAAATGACCCATTCATAAAATGGGCCTGGGACCTGAACAGAGTTCTCAAAAGAAAACAAAGTTTCAAAAATGTTGATCATCCCTAGCAATTGGGGAAAAGCAAATCAAAACAACTTTGATGGTAAAGCTCAACCAACAACAAATGCTGAATAGAGTGTGGGGGAAAGGAACCTTCCTTCATTGTTGGGGAGACAGCAAACTGGTACAGCCACTACAAGAATCAGTGTGGAGAATCAATCAATCAATCAACCAATCAATCTTTCTCTCTCTGGTTTTTTGAGATAAAGTTTCTCTGTATAGCCTTGGCTGTCCTAGAACTTGCTCTATAAACAGGGCCAGCCTCAAACTTAGAGATCTGCCTGCCCGTGCTTCCCAAGTGCTGGAATTAAAAGGCGTGCACCACTATATGACTCAAATGTGGAGAACTCTCAAAAAGCTAAAAATCATTTGACCCAGCTATACCACTTCTTGGCATATGCCCAAAGAACTCAACATCTACTCCACAAATACTTGCTCAACCATGTTCATTGATGCTCTATTCACAATAACTAGAAACTGGAAACAACATAAATGTTCTTCAACTGACAAATGGATAATGAAAATGTTACGTATACCTTATGGAATACTCTTCAGCTGTGAAGAAAAAATGAAATCATGAACTTTTCAGGTAAATGAATGGAACTACAAAAGATCATAATGAGTGAGGTACACAAGACCAAGAAAGACAGACGTCACGTGTTCTCTGTCACCTGAGGCTCCTAGCTCCAAATCTTCAGATGTGAATATACAACCTGGAGTAGCTGTGGAAACCAGGGAAGTAGAAAGGACCATTTCTGGAGTCAGGAGAGTGGGGTAGTAACAGAGAGGAGAATAGCACAGTATGATTGATCTGAAATGGGAAATAGGAAAAATGGGGGAGGGGCTTTAATTAGGAAGAGGGAGGGAGAAAATACAGAAGGAGGGTAAAATAATAGTAAGGATGTCCGAAAAAGTTGTAAGATCATACTATCAACTATCTACCTAAAAATATCCATAGTACACCTAAGTCTGTATAAATATACATATATAGTTAAAATGAAAATTTCTCATCTGAACTGACAATGTTCCCTTCAAGAACCTAAGATCACTTATCCCAATACCAGGCATGAGAAGTCCTCTTTTGAGTTGTTGGTTGGGCAGTCCAAGAGACTTCTAAAACATACAGGCTATTGCAATTACCCTTGCTTGCCCCCCAGAGATTGAAGGAAGTCCCTATTGCTGAAGACACCATGCATTGATATTTATGTGTGTAACAAGAATTAATGGAAAGAGGCAATAAATATGAAAGAGAGCAAGAACAAGGCATATGGAAGGGTTCGGAGGAAGGAAAAGGAAAGGAGAGATGATGTAATTACAATCTCAAAAATAAGAGAGAAATTGAACAAAAAAGAAATAATTGGGGAGTCTTGGAAGTCTCTACCCTCATGCACAATAAACCAGATGTAATAAAGTGCCCTTGAGAAGTTTAGAATTGAATACCAACATGAAAGACTTGATATAACTAGCAATCATGCTAGTTAAGCCATCCAACACAACTTATTGTTGTCTTCACCTGACCTACTGCACTAACCCTTTAGAAGGTTTCAATGGCCAGTGTAAAGGTCCCTGAGTCTTGAAGTAAAACCATCAGCTACATGAAAATAAGCAGGTGGTCATACCAATTGTTTTGTTTTGAGACAAGACTTCATTATGTAGCCCAGGCTAGCCTTGTGATCCTCTGCCTCACTTTCTGAGTCACTGCAATTACTGGCCTCTGCCATCACACACATCTTCAAATGATTGTCAATATGGCATATACTGACAAGGTTAATGTTATTTTCCCTTTTCTAGTTTGTAATGAACAGAAAGCAGGTCGCATTGGCCTGACAAGATGAATAAATAGGGTATCTTTATATCACCATCCCTCTTATCTGTCTACTCTTCTGGTTTATACCATAACAGTCCCCAGAAGACTTGACAGAGCATGAAGCAGCCCACAGGTAAACTATGGTGGCATTGTGTTGGTTAGATCCAACAACTTAAAAGTTTCAAAGTTCTATAAAAACTTTTGTAAGAGATCCACGGCTGGGATAGTGGCATGTAACCGGTGAGGCAGAGGCAGGCAGATCTCTGAGTTCCAGGCAATCATCATCTACTTATCCAGCTCCAAGCCAGGCAGGACACACAGGGAGGCATGGTAATACACACCTGTAATCCCAGCACTAAGGAAACAGGGGCACGAAGATTGTCAATTCAAGACTCTCTAAGCTACATAAAGAGACTTTATTCAAAAGTAAAACAAAGGAACCGTACCACCCACTTCTCCCTCACCCCCAGTCATGCAGGAGTGGGAGGTGGGCTGGTGAGATGGCTTGCTTGCCCGCTGACTGAGTTCAATCCCCAGGATTCAAAATAGTAGGGGGACTCCAAGTTGTCTTCTAACCTCCACGTGTCTGTTGTGGCATCTTTGCACACACACACACACACACACACACACACACACACACACACACACACATATGGAAGTATACCAAAAAAATTGAAAGTGTGGAAGATTTAGGGGTGAGATTTTCTAAAGGTTCAGTGCTGTAGTCAAGACATTCATTTGAAGATTTCATTTAGGTTATTGCTCCTCAATTGCTCCTCATACCAACCCAAACAAGACACTTTACAGAAATTTGACTTTGGAGTGTAACATTTCCAAGATTTGAATGTGTTTTAACACACCTGCAGTCACCTATAGCCTCCAGTTTCAAGTGCAGGCCAGAACCAGTTAAGACAACTACAGCAGAAGGGGCCTCAGCAGGCAAAGGGGCTCGCCACAGAAGCCTGGAGACCTGGATTCAATCTCCAGAACCCACAAAAAGAAAGAATGGACTCCATCAAGTTGTCCTCTGGCCTTCATGTGTGTGCTATGGCACATGCACAGCCACACCCACCATACACATGTATACAAGAATAATAAATGTTTTTAAAGATTTATTTATTATGTATACAGTGCTCTGCCTGCCTGACGGCCAGAAGAGGGCACCAGATCTCATTACAGGTGGTTGTGAGCCACCATGTGGTGCTGGGAATTGAACTCAGGACCTCTGGAAGAGCAGTCAGTGCTCTTAACCTCTGAGTCATCCCCCCAGCCCATAAATATAAAGCTTTAAAGCATATAATGCAAGGTTTTCAAGTCCTGATCTGCATTATTCAGCAGATCCAAAGATGTCCAAGTGCCAGACGACACCTTGGCCTTCTTGGTACTTTAAAGCAACCCTGAGCCTTTTGTGTACCTGCTTCTGGAGGCTAAACTCAGAGCCTCAGGTTTGCCGAGTAAGTTCGATACCATTGGGCTACACACACTCCACGCACCATGCCCTCTTTTAAAGATGAACTCTTCTGCTTTTGAGAAACAGCTGTGGCTCACGACCAGAACATTCACAGGGTGACTACAGACACACAGTTACTAAAGCAGAAGTGAGTAATTCCTGACCATGTGCCCCAAGAAGCATACGCTACTTACCACCAACTTTTACTGCAGTTTACAAACCTCTCCTTTGGAGCTATTGTAAGTACATAGAAAAGAAAAGAAAAAGGAAGAAACACAGGTATTTTTAAACATCCCATGAGACTTCAATTAGAAATAGCAAAATGTATGACTTTCTTAAAGAATGTAAAACTCTTCAAAAGTTACTACAGAGCCAGGCATGGTGCTAGACACTGGAAATCCCTACACCTGGGAGGTAAAGGCTGGCGGATCAGGAGTTCCTCAGTTACATAGCAAGGCTGAGGCCAGCCTGGGTTACATGAGACCCTATTTCAAAGAACAAACAGAGGCCATGGAGGTGGATCGGTGGGTAAAGGCCAAGCCATAAAACCCAAGTTTGAACTCCAGCACCCAGACGGTGGGAAGAGAACCAACTCCTGCAATTGTCTCTGACCTCCGAGGCAGGGGAATTCCTGTTTTGAAATTCTCTAAGGATGCACAGGCCTAGGAACTTCACATGGAGAGGGCGGAGTACTCTTGCTTTCACCAGCAGAAGGCCTTAGTCACACAGTATCTACATTTATGTACAAAATATTCAGGGCGGGGGTGTGTGGCTCACTGAATGAGCAGTTTTACTAGCAGTAAAGTCAAGAAGAGAGGTAAAGACTGAGAAAGAGTAGAGAAAGGAAAGGGAAGGAAGGAAAAAAAAGAAAAGGAACGATTAAAGAAACAAACATTCAGGGGGGTGTGGTGGCGCACGCCTTTAGTCCAACACTACCGAGGCAGAGGCAGAAGGATCTCCACGAGTTCGAGGCCAACCTGGTCTACACAGCGACTTCTCGTGCAGCCAAAAAAAAAAAAATTAAATAATTAAATAAATAAATAAATAAAATAAACATTCACATTCACTCCCAAACAGAAATGTTTATTCCTAGACACCTAAGAATACTTTTTCTACCATAATGTCCAGTGTCATGTGACAGAATTAAACAGACGATGTCAAGACAAAGCCACGCTGTGCGTGGGAAGCTTCCTTCACAAACCCCAGCCCGCGGCGCTCACCCGAGCTCCACGATCGCTGGGTCGCGCGGAGGCGGCGGCGGCTGCAGGGCGATGCCAGCGGCGGAGCTCCGTCCCCTGGAAGACTGACTAATCTGCAAGGCGGCTGGGGAGTTTTCTGCAGAGGGGGCCGAGCCGACGGCAAGCCCCTGGGAGGCCGGGGAGCGTTCTCAGCGGTGGAGGGAGGCGAGGTGCACGTGAGACCCGCCGTCCCGGCTATGGGCCTTCGCGGACACAGCCACGCCCTAAACTGACCCTTCACGGCCGCCGTCGCCTCCACCTCCGCGACTCCCTAGGAGTAAAGATGGAGCAGAGGTGGAGAACGGCACTGCGAACTACAGGATGCAGCCATCGCTGGGGGGGGGGGGGGGGGAGGCCTATGTGGCGTCACTTCCCCTTCCGCTCCGGAGTGTAGCCCGGGAGATTCGGGTCTCGGCTGTCCTGGACGGAGATGGCGTCCTTGGAGCGGAGAAATGGCTCTGGGGTTAAGAGTGTTGCTCTTGTTGAGGACCCAGGTTTGATCCCAGCACCCAGATGGCGGCTCACAGTTCTCCCCGTCTGACTTAAATCTTAAACCCGTCTCTCTCTGTCTGTGTCTCGCTCCTTCTCTCAAGAGGCAAAGGCAGGCAGATCTCTGTGAGTTCAGGGCTAGCCTGCATAGTGAGGCAGAGAGACTGAGATGATTCTGGAGCCAAATATGAGAGACTATGGTCCAGGAACACAGATTTGAAGTTACCCCAAATTCCACATGCAAATGTGGTTACTCTTTCACAAAATTATTATAGTAACGGAACAAAGGAAATTATAAAGCATGTAACAGACCTTAGCACAACTGACGCCATGATGGAAGTATCATTCAGGCTGTAAAACTCAGCATGTAGACAGCACCACCTGCTAAAACAAAGGCCTAACCCATCAAAAATCTATAGTTATGAGAAAGTTTCTAAATGTAATAACCTTGCTTTTTGGCTTCTGTAGTTCTGCTTCTGGCTAACTGTTAAGTGAAGTATGTCAACATGGTTTTGTGCTTAAAAGCTCACGCTGAGAAAGCCTCGGGGTTACACCGGGATCGTGACCACCCAGTGTAGTTACCAGCTAGCTAATAAAGACATTTAATTGGCTTAAACTTGTGTCCGAGCAGTCTTCTCTGGTGGATACCCCACAACAAGCACAATCCCAGATACATTGGTGGAAACATCAGGTAGGTCTGTTTCAGAAAAAGGAGAAAAATCTCCTCTCTAGGCATCAGATACAATCTTAATCCTTTGTTTAATGGAAGCTACTGCTGTTCATACAGACTTAATAGTCACAAAGATATTGGGTCATATACAGGGCAAGAAATGGCTACTAAGGCTACTAAAGACTGTTGGATTTTGTCAAAGGCTTTTCCTGAACCTATTGAGGTGATTGTGTGGCTTTTGTCTTTAAGTCCATTTATGTGGTTTATTACATTTATTGACTTGTATGTGTTGGACCATCCCTGCATTTCAGGGATAAAGCCAATTTGCTCTGATACAATACTCTTAAAATGTTTTTTAAAGTTTTAAAATTAGATTTATGCATTTTATTTTATGTGTCTTGCCTGCATAGATGTCTGTGCTCCACATGCATGTTTGGTGCCCATGGAGGTCAGAAGAAGGCATCACATACCCTGGAACTGCAGTTTACACATAGTTGTGAACCAGCATGTGCAGGGAATTGAACCTGGGTCCTCTGCAAGAGCAATAAGTGCTCTTAACTGTTGAGCTATCTCTCTAGATATAGATACATTCGTACATGCGTAACCCTTTAAATGTATGCCTTTATTCTGTTTGCAAGTATTTTAATGAGCATTTTTTGTGCGTCTATGTTCTGTTGAGTCTGTTTTTGTTGTGGTCTTTATCTGTTTTTGATATTAGAGTGATATTGTGGAGTGCTTCTGTTTCTCTTCTTTCTTCTCTTCTTTATCTCTTTCTTTTCTTTCTTTCTTTCTACAATTTATGAGGGCTGGCTATAGATCTTTAAAAGTCTGATAGAATTCTCCTGTGAAGCCATCTGGCTTTTTGTTACAGTTTCAATCTCCTCATTTGTTATGGGTCTCTTTAGGTTGTTGACTTCTTGGTTTAGTTTTGGTGGTTTGGCTGAATCTAGAAATCATCCATTTCTTTTAGGTTTTTCCAACTTAATGAAGTACAGATTTTTAAAATATCCCCTTATAATGTTCTGAATTTCTTTAGTGTATATTTCCCTGTTGATTTCTAAACCTGTTAATTTGGGTCCTCTTTTCTTTTTTTTTTTCTTTTGGTTTGTTGGGCCAAGTGTCAATCTTACTTACCTTCTTAATGAACCTGCTTTTAGATTCAGTGATACTTTTTTTTTTTTTTTTTTTTTTTTGGTTTTTCGAGCAGGGTTTCTCTGTGTAGCTTTGCGCCTGTCCTGGAACTCACTTGGTAGCCCAGGCTGGCCTCGAACTCACAGAGATCCGCCTGGCTCTGCCTCCCGAGTGCTGGGATTAAAGGCGTGCGCCGCCACCACCGCCCGGCTTAGATTCAGTGATACTTTATATTGTTCCAGGGGATGTGATGCCTTCTCCTGACCTCCATGGGCACCAAACATGCATGTGGCGCACAGACATCTATGCAGGCAAAACACACATAAAATAAAATCAGTCTATTTCATTGATTTCTGCTCTGATTTTTCTTATTTCTTGCTATCAACTGGGTTTGCATTTGGTTTGTTTTTGTTCTTCCAAATTTTTGAATTGCATCATTGTCATTTATTTGTACTCTCCGATTTTTTTAAAACGTGGGCACTTAGAGCTATACATTTCTCTCAGCATTCATTGCTTTCAATTTATCCTGGAAGTTTTGTTGTATTGTGTTTTCATCTTCATTTAGTACCAGAAAAATTTTAAATCTCTTTTTTGATTTCTTGTTGAAGGGACCTGAGTACTGCAGGATGCTCCCCTCTGGACCCTGGCTTAGGCACAGACCACACCCAAACACCAATATCCAAGCACAAACCAAACACAAATCAATCCTTTATTAAGCAAAGCAGAGACAAGGTGGCTGAATCTGAATTGCACAGAAGCTTTGTAAGTGTTAATTTTAAGAGGGAAAAAGGGGAGGTCTGTGTTAGAATGAGCTGGGATGAGTAAGTTCTGATTGGGTATTTCAATTAGTGTAGTCAAAATCATGAATTTTGATGGTTGGACTTTGATGTTTTGACAGTTGGATCTTGGTGATCAGTCTCAGGAATGAGTCAGGCATAAGAAAGTGGCCAAGTAAAGGAATAGACCTTGGTGACTAGCATTAGAAATGTCATCTAACGGTTTAGGAAGGGAGAGGGAAGGGTAAAAGGCAAAACCTGTTGGTGCCATGGCTGCCGTGCTCTGGCCTGCTAGAACCCTCCACTTATTTGCCCTGTTCATCATTCAGTAATGAGTTGTTCAAGCTCCATGAGTTTGTGCGTTTACTAAAGATTTGTTTTCTGTCCATTTTAAGTTTGACCTACTGAGGTCAGATAGGATACAAAGAGTGATTTCAATCTTTTAAAATTTGTTTTATGTCCCAGGATATTGTCTATTAGAAATTTTCCATGTGCTGCTGAGCTGAATATGTATTCTTTGGTGTTTGGGTGGACTATTCTTCATATATCTGTTAAGTCCATTTGATGTATGATGTCAATTCTAATGTTTCTCTGTTTATTTTTTTGTCCAGATTACCTGTCTATTGGACAAAGTGGAGTATTGAAATTACCTACTGTTATTATTCTGATCCCACCCCTTGGGGCCACCCTGCATCCTGATGTAGAAGCCTCTTCTTAAGGAAAAACTCCGCTCCTCTCTCTCTCCTTCCACGTTTCCTCCCACGAGGTGTACACCCCCCCTTCCCCTCTCTCTCTCTGTCTCCCTCTTTCTGTCTCTCTGCCTCTTTATCTCTCTATTATAATAAACTCTCCACATGGATACAGCATCTGGGTGTGTATTACTG